GAAAAATGGCCATTTTTGAACCAAAACCATGGGTTAACCCCTTTGGAAAAATGTCAATTTTTCGACTTTTTGAAGTTCTTGTTTTTATAGCCTAGAAAGGCGTTTTTTTTGTTCTAGAATATCGTAACAGACATTTTTCTCGTCTATATGGCCAAAAAAAAAAGTTCGAAAAATGGCCATTTTTGAACCAAAACCATGGGTTAACCCCTTTGGAAAAATGTCAATTTTTCGACTTTTTTAACTTCTTATTTTTATAGCCTAGAAAGGCGTTTCCTCGTTCTAGAATATCATAAAAGACATTTTCCTGGCTGTTATTGCCTACAAAAAAAAAGTTGGAAAAATGGCCATTTTTGGACCAAAACCATGGGTTAACCCCTTTGGAAAAATGTCAATTTTTCGACTTTTTTAACTTCTTGTTTTTATAGCCTAGAAAGGCGTTTTTTTTGTTCTAGAATATCGTAAAAGACATTTTCCTGGTCTATATTTCCTAGAAAAAGAAAGTTGGAAGAATGGCCATTTTTCGATCAAAACCATGGGTTAACCCCTTTGGAAAAATGTCAATTTTTAGAGTTTTTTAACTTCTTGTTTTTATAGCCTAGAAAGGCGTTTTTTCGTTCTAGAATATCGTAAAAGACATTTTCCTGGCCTTTTTTGACTAAAAAAAAAAATTTAAAAAAATTGCCATTTTTGCACCAAAACCATGGGTTAACCCCTTTCGAAAAATGTCAATTCATCGACTTTTTGAACTTCTTGTTTTTCTAGCCTAGAAAGGCGTTTGTTCGTTCTAGAATTTCGTAAAAGACATTTTCCTTGCTTTTATTGCCTTCAAAAAAAAAAAGGTTGATAAAATGGCCATTTTTGGACCAAAACCATGGGTTAACCCCTTTGGAAAAATGTCAATTTTTCGATTTTTTAACTTCTTGTTTTTATAGCCTTGAAAGGCGTTTTCTCGTTCTAGAATATAGTAAAAGACATTTTCCTGGTCTATATTGCCTAAAAAAAAAGTTGGAAAAATGGCCATTTTTGGACCAAAACCATGGGTTAACCCCTTTGGAAAAATGTCAGTTCTTCCACTTTTTGATCTTCCTTTTTTTTTAGCCTAGAAAGACGTTTGTTCGTTCTAGAATATGGTAAAAGACATTTTCCTGGCCTTTATTGCCTAAAAAAAAAAGTTGGAAAAATGGCCATTTTTGGATCAAAACAATGCGTTAACCCCTTTGGAAAAATGTCAATTTTTCGTCTTTTTTAAGTTCTTGGTTTTACAGCCTACACGGGTGTTTTTTCGTTCTAGAATATCGTAAAAGACATTTTCCTGGTGTATATTGCCTAAAAAAAAAAGGTTTGAAAAATGGCCATTTTTGGACCAAAACCATGGGTTAACTACTTTGGAAAAATGTCAATTTTTCAAATTTTTAAACATGTTTTTTTTATAGCCTAAAAAGGCGTTTTTGCGTTCTAGAATATCGTAAAAGACATTTTTCTGGTCTATATAGCCAAAAAAAAAAGTTGGAAAAATGGCCATTCTTGGACCAAAACCATGGGTTAACCCCTTTGGAAAAATGTCAATTTTTCGACTTTTTTTACTTCTTGTTTTTTTAAGCCTAGAAAGGCATTTGTTCGTTCTAGAATATCGTAAAAGACATTTTCTGGGCCTTTATCGCCGAAAAAAAAAAGTTGGAAAAATGGCCATTTTCTGACCAAAACGGTGGGTTAACCCCTTTTGAAAAATGTCAATTTTTGGGCTTTATGAACTTCTTGGTTTTATAGCCTAGAAAGGCGTTTTTTCGTTCTAGAATATCGGAAAAGAAATTTTCCTGGTCTATATTGCCTAAAAAAAAAAGTTGGAAAAATGGCCATTTTTGGACCAAAACCATGGGTTAACCCCTTTGGAAAAATGTCAATTTTTCGTCTTTTTGAACTTCTTGTTTTTATAGCCTAGAAAGGCGTTTTTTCGTTCTAGAATATAGTAAAAGACATTTTCCTGATCTATATTGCCTAAAAAAAAAAGTTGGAAAAATGGCCATTTTTGGACCAAAACCATGGGTTAACCCCTTTGGAAAAATGTCAATTTTTCGTCTTTTTGAATTTCTTGTTTTTATAGCCTAGAAAGGCGTTTTTTCGTTCTAGAATATCGTAAAAGACATTTTCCTTGTTTATATTGCCAAAATAAAAAGTTGGAAAAATGGCCATTTTTGGCCCAAAAGAATGGGTTAACACCTTTGGAAAAATGTCAATTTTTGGACTTTTTGAAGTTCTTGTTTTTATAGCTTAGAAAGGCGTTTTTTCGTTCTAGAATATCTTAAAAGACATTTTCCTGACCTATATTGCCTGAAAAAAAAAATGGAAAATGGCAATTTTTGGACCAAAACGGTGGGTTAACCCCTTTGGAAAAATGTCAATTTTTCGACTTTTTGAAGTTCTTGTTTTTATAGCTTAGAAAGGCGTTCTATCGTACTAGAATATCACAAAAGACATTTTCCTGACCTATATTGCCGTAAAAAAAAAGTTGGAAAAATGGCCATTTTTGGACCAAAACCATGGGTTAACCCCTTTGGAAAAATGTCAATTTTTCGACTTTTTGAAGTTCTTGTTTTTATAGCTTAGAAAGGCGTTCTATCGTACTAGAATATCACAAAAGACATTTTCCTGACCTATATTGCCGTAAAAAAAAAGTTGGAAAAATGGCCATTTTTGGACCAAAACCATGGGTTAACCCCTTTGGAAAAATGTCAATTTTTCAACTTTTTTAACTTTTCGTTTTTATAGCAAGAAATGCGTTTTTTCGTTGTAGAATATCGTAAAAGACATTTTCCTGGCCTATATTGACTAGAAAAAAAAAGTTGGAATAATTGCCATTTTTGGACCAAAACCATGGGTTAACCCCTTTGGAAAAATCTCAATGTTTCGACTTTTTTAACTTCTTCTTTTTATAGCCTAGAAAGACGTTTTTTCGTTCTAGAATATTGTAAAAAACATTTTCCTGGCCTATATTGCCTAAAAAAAAAGTTGGAAGAATGGCTATGTTTGGACCAAAACCATGGTTAATCCCTTTGGAAAAATGTCGATTTTTCGACTTTTTAAACTTCTTGTTTTTATAGCCTGGAAAGACGTTTTTTCGTTCTAGAATATTGTAAAACACATTTTCCCGGGCTATATTGCCTAAAAAAAAAAGTTGGAAAAATGGCCATTTTTGGACCAAAACCATGGGTTAACCCCTTTGGAAAAATCTGAATTTTTCAACTTTTTGAACTTCTTGTTTTTATAGCCTAGAAAGGCGTTTTTTTGTTGTAGAATATCGTAAAATACATTTTCCTAGTCTATATTGCCTAAAAAAAAAAGTTGGCACAATGGCCATTTTTGGACCAAAACCACGGGTTAACCTCTTTGGAAAAAATTCGATTTTTCGACTTTTTTAACTTCTTTTTTTTCTAGCCTAGAAAGACGTTTTTTCGTTCTAGAATATGGTAAAACAGATTTTCCTGGTCTATATTGCCTAAAAAAAGAAAGTTGGAAAAATGGCCATTATTGGACGAAAACCATGGGTTAACCCCTTTGGAAAAATGTCAATTTTTGACTTTTTTAATTTCTTCTTTTTATAGCCTAGAAAGACGTTTTTTCGTTCTAGAATATTGTAAAAAACATTTTCGTGGCCTATATTGCCTAAAAAAGAAAGTTGGAAAAATGGCTATGTTTGGACCAAAACCATGGGTTAACCCCTTGGGAAAAATGTCAATTTTCGGACTTTTTTAACTTCTTGTTTTTATAGGCTACGAAGGCGTTTTTTCGTTCTAGAATATCGTAAAAGACATTTTCCTGGCCTATATTGCCTAAAAAACAAAATTGGAAAAATGGCCATTTTTGGACCAAAACCATTTTTTAACCCCTTTGGAAAAATGTCAATTTTTCGACTTTTTAAACTTCTTGTTTTTATAGCCTAGAAAGGCGTTTTTTCGTTCTAGAATATCGTAAAAGACATTTTCCTGGTGCATATTGCCTAAAAAAAAAAGTTGGCAAACTGGCCATTTTTTGGACCAAAACCATGGGTTAACCCCTTTGGAAAAATGTCAATTTTTCGACTCTTTGAACTTCTTGTTTTTATAGGCTAGGAAGGCGTCTTTTCGTTCTAGAATATCGTAAAAGACATTTTCCTGGCCTATATTGACTAAAAAAAAAAGTTGAAAGAATTGCCATTTTTGGACCAAAACCATGGGTTAATCCCTTTGAAAAATGTCAATTTTTCGACTTTTTGAACTTTTTGTTTTTATAGCCTAGAAAGGCGTTTTTTTTGTTCTAGAATATCGTAAAAGACATTTTCCTGGCCTATATTGCCTAAAAATAAAAAGTTGGAAAAACGGCCATTTTTTGACCATAACCATGGGTTTACCCCTTTGGAAAAATGTCAATTTTTCGACTTTTTGAACTTCTTGTTTTTTTAGCCTAGAAAGGCGTGTGTTTGTTCTGGAATATCGTAAAAAACATTTTCCTGGTGTATATTGCCAAAAAAAAAAAGTTTGAAAAATGGCCATTTTTAGACCAAAACCATGGAAACCTTTGGAAAAGCGTCAATTTTTCGACTTTTTAAACTTCTTGTTTTTATAGCCTAGAAAGGCGTTTTTTCGTTCTAGAATATCGTAAAAGGCATTTTCCTGGCCTATATTGACTAAAAAAAAAAAGTGGGAAAAATTGCCATTTTTCGACCAAAACCATGGGTTAACCCTTTGGGAAATATGTCATTTTTTTTTTTTTTTGATTTTTTTTTTTTTTAGCCTAAAAACTATTTTTTTTTTTTTAGAATTTTTTAAAAGACATTTTCCTTGCGTATATTTCCTAAAAAAAAAAAGTTGGAAAAACGGCCATTTTTTTACCATAACCATGGGTTAACCCGTTTGGAAAAATGTCAATTCTTCGACTTTTTGAACTTCTTGTTTTTATAGCCTAGAATGGCGTTTTTTCGTTGTAGAATATCCTAAAAGACATTTTCCTGCCCTAAAATACCTTCTTTACTTCCATTGGCCGTCACGTGACTAATGTTCCTTCCCCTCAAGTAAATTCTTTTTGAACAGAGAATACACTGTTACAAAATGATGAAAATAATAGCTTTAGTCAAAACATTAATCTAAAAATTTTGCATACATCTGTCAGAAGAAAGCACTGACTTAAAAAAAACCCGCTCAGTACGTGATGACTTTTTTTTTATATAATTAAGGTAAGCCGTAAGATTCCTCCTTTCATGGCTGGATTGTATTTTAAAAGTGCGTTTAGCAATATGTAAATCCATTTTATACTTATTTCAGTATGGATTTAAAACTTGAAACAAGACACAAAAAAGCCTTATAGATGACAGCTTTCCGTTAAAGCACTAAACGTAGGCCCTCAACAAATGTTTGCGACGCCCTAGGCCTAGCACCTCCAAACTTGGTCAAGAAAAACTATAAGCCCAAAATCTTTCACTAGTAAAAAGAAAAAGACCTTTTTCAAATTCGTCATATTAGACGCCGAACCAACGTTTTCTGCGGACTGAGTTAGCGGTATCTACCTGTGTCGTCAGATTTGTTCCGGCTCTTTTCCCTGGTTGTAAAGGACCAGTAAAAGCTTCACTGAAGGAGAAAAAGAGAATGAAAACTAACGCAGAACGAAATCCAATACTCCTGATCATTTTGCCCGTAGGTATAGCTTCAACCGCTGCAACTAAAACGCGAAAGTTCCATAAGAATTTATTTCTTTTACCAAGTTAATGCTCTTGGAGAGCCCCAATTTCCTTTCAGCCGGATGATCCTTACGTTGCTATATATAAAAAAACGAAAATTAGTAGTTCAATTCCTAACTTTCCTAAAAAGATTCCTCTGTGCTAATTTTACTTCTATTTTTAACCAAATTATAATGCCATTATAAATAGACCTTGATTTTCAGTTCAGTCTGTGCGAGGGAACTAAAATGCGACACAGTTTCCCAGAACCTCTTAGAAATTGATTGACCGCATTAAGTTCCATTTACCTTTGCATTGTGAGCAAGGATTTTGTATAAGCAACAAGGAAGGCACAAAATAGTGTCATGATCAATTGTAGCCTAAGTATATCTGGGTGTGAGACACGAAACTTTGCCGTGGATTGAAACGGATTGTCTTTTCAAACCATGAAATTAAAAGGGCACGGCACGAGATATTTAAATTAAATTTTAAATGTTCTATTTTACGGTCTCTCTACGCCGGACGATCACTTTCCTGTTGCTTTTTTATTGTTATATAGTCAACAATAAAACGTGGAATACAATGTATTAATATGATAGGAGACAGGAGTTAACTCGAGGCGAAGAGTATAATACAGGGACCTTAACTAACTGACAAACAGGCCCTTTGGATTTAACCCATAGTATCCATATCAATAAACTTGTACAGTCATATGTGATCCATTCAGTAAGCAACAGACGTCCTCCTCATGGCTACACTTCCACTGGCGAAGTGGGCAAATACACAAGTACTCGAAGATATAATTGTAACCAGCTTGTTGAGAGTATGACCCCATCTTAATAATACACATCATTGCTTATTCAAGAAACGTTACTATCTTAAAAGCTGTACACAAAATGTTCAAGTTAAAAACGTTGCTTGTCTTTAAGTTCAATGCGTTTTTAATCTAAAGAAAGCATGAGGCCTCCTCTGCCAGCAGTACACTGTGCTAGTAAACTTTTCTTATCAGTGTTCTGCACTCTGAATAAGTTCAGGCCAAACCAGCGTCACAAGCCATGCTGTAGAAAATTCCCTGCTGCGCAAGTAATGCTTGTGGGGTGTCAAACTCTACCATAAAACCTTTGTCAAGGACCATAACTCTACAGGAAAAAAAAAAGGAAAAAATGAAAAAAGCACAAATAGGTAGTAAGGGAAAATTTTAAACACCAAATCGAACAGCGCAGTACTGGTACCTTGTATAATCCATGATGGTGTTGAGCCTGTGGGCGATAGTAAACACGGTACGGTCAGCAAACTCCCGCCGAATCGTTTGTTGAATGAGTTCATCAGTTTCCAGGTCCACCGCGGCTGTGGCTTCATCAAGAACAAGAACTTTACTTTTACGAAGCAACGCACGTGCTAAACATACCAACTGCCGCTGACCAACACTGTAAGGGAACAAAGTAATATATTACTGGCCTTATAATAATTAACTATCCAGAGTACATCCGGGAAGAGACACAACCTCTCCATCTCCTATTCAGTTTTCAAGGGGAGGGAGTGGATGTATACAGGCTCTGATAATTAACTAGTTTCCTTCTTATCAACGTTGCGTTAATCTTTAATACCACTTAACTTTCCAAGAAGAGAGAAAGAACATATGCATGAAGCTTTTGGAGCAAGCACCCTTAGGATTACCTTAAGTTTTCTCCTCCTTCACTAACTGGGTGGAGCAGACCTTGTTCTAGTCCTGACACAAAGTTCTTTAAATGACTTATTTCCAGGATTTTCCACAATTCCTCGTCGGTATGATAGTCAAATGGATCCAGGTTAAGCCGGAGAGTTCCAGAGAATAAAACAGGGTCCTTTGAAAGAGCACAAAACATAATTTAAACAAGGATGCAGGACAAGAAAACTAGGATAAAAGTGGATATCAATAGAGTGAGGGGTATTAACTCTATGTGCCGTGGTTCGGAGACCTCTGTACACAGGCTATTTAATTTTGTCTTTGGTTTAAATGTTATTATATATTTCCCCTTGGGTTGGGGTATGGTAATGTAATAAGTTTGAAACAAAGGAAATTAAAATTAACCTAGGAGTCAATTAATCAATGAAACTTTAACAAGTGTAGCCACACTTGTGAATTAAACTTGTAAACGTTTTATCAAAATGACCCCAGTACAGGGATAAAGTTTAGTTCATAAAATATAAATTCTATACATGTCTATATCATTACCTGTGGAATGATAGTGAGCCGAGATCGCAGATCCTGAAGTCCAATCGTAGCAATATCAATACCATCAACAACAATCTTTCCTCCAGCTCTCTCCAAAATACGAAACAAAGCCAAAGTCAGCGTCGACTTGCCAGCCCCTGTGCGACCCACAATACCAATCTGAAATTAAAGCAAAAACAACTTGCTTATGAGAAAAGAGAAGAAAAAGAAACAAGAAGGAAGGGAAAAGAGGCAAAACGGGGGAAAAGGAAAATGAGACAAAGAAGAGGGGATGAAAGGAAAAATTGTAATGAGCCCATCTACCTTCAGCTTAACATACCTTTTCTCCTGGTTTGATGTTGCAGTTAATATTCTTGAGTACTAGTGGTAATCCTTCTCTGTATTTTAAGTCAAACTCTTCAACTGCAATATTACCCTGCTCGGGCCAATCATCAGGGGGTCGCCTATCAGATATGATCCATTCAGCCTGCAGCCCAGCGTGGAAAAAAATATATAAATAAATATACAGTTCAAATAAAGTAATGATAAAAAAGTACCAAATATATTCACTTCATAGGTGTACTTACAAGTTCTAGAACATCTTTTGACACATACAGCAAGTTTTAAAAGGTTTCAATATTCCTTTCGCTGGTTTATAGTCACAGTTTGAGGATGCTGGGGTATTGGCTATTTAAGTGACCAATTATTACCAACTTCATTTCATTATTTATGCAAACTCACTTTTTGACTCTCTTGTTTCATTCAGTCAGATAATGACTTGAAAACAAAAGATCAGGAATTACAACAGCCTCTCAGAACATGTAGCCAACTGTTGTTCGTCCCCTTCAAGCTTAATCAATTCACTCATGCAATTCTTAAATTCCATATCTGAATTCACTGGCAGATTCTTAATATTCATTTATTTCTCCTAACCCTAATAGAATGTTACCTCAGTTGGGGTCTCTGAGTATTCTTTGACTCGCTCTACTGACACGATGTTTGTCTCAAGCTCGCTACTCATGCGAACCATCCAGTTAAGAGTACTTGTAATCTGTGGGGTAAGTACACGAACAAAGTCAAACTGATCACACACTTCACCCAAAATGTCGAGTATATACCTGCATTTTGGTTTATTCTCTTTTTATATACAATATTCCAAAATAAAACCAGTGATAACAACAGCAGCAACAATAATAACAACAAAGGGCAATAATAATAATACTATTTTTAAATGAAGATATGATCGTCACATAGGTAATTGCAATTTAGGCAATTGCAAATTAACCCGAAAAAAATTTTGGTACTTCAGTGGGATTTGAAGACATGGCCTCTGTGTTAGCACTGCAGTGCTACTAAGCTATGAAGACCCATACATTGGGAGCAGGCCAATTTGTTGAGTTCATCTTTGCCCTGTAAATAGAATGAATCCTGTGAATCTTCATTCCAAATGATAATAATAATAATAATGATGATGGTGGTGATGATGATGATGAAACCCCATACTAACTGATAAGCAACAAAGAGACAGGCCAAACCTACCTGAAGGGCATAAGTGATTGATAAACCAACTAAGCCACTTTCCAAGGTATCCCGGTTAATAACAGCAAACAAGGCAGCAAAAAACGTGATCAGGTTGCCAACAAATTCGAGATGAACAGCAAGCCACCTGAAATAAGAGGCAACTGAAATGTTGCAGTGCAAGATTTCACATTGTGGAATGAGTTCCAGCTGTGAAGACAGCCACTGAATACATTTCTGAGGCATCAATTTATTGCTTTACCAACCCCACACACCGAGATAGACAGTTGGCTGTTAAGATCCTACCCCATCTCTCACATTTAACCCTATTACTGTTGTTTCTGTACGTTAAATATAAACAATACTATTCCATAATTACAACAGTTTGGCTAATCTTGAATTCCCACTACTACAAATAAATTATTTATTTAGGATAGACAGCTTGAAGTCCAAAGCAAAACTTGTCATAGAAACAGACAAATAGAAGATTATAATGTAAAAGACAAAAATAGAACAAGCATCCACCAAGCTCTTATAAACCCACAAGATTTTGAAATGGATTATCATTATCAAACAATGTCAAAATAGAAATAGGCTAACTGGGTAGAAGTGTGATGTAAATCAATGAAGCAATCTGAAATTGAAGCTTGTAGAGTAGTAAAAGGTCTGTTACCTGTTAGAAGCTACTGATGGGTAGTAAGCCACTTGATTTTCATCCACTATGAAGTAGTTTCCTTGTATAAAGCGTTGCTGTTGTCCAAATGCACGAATGGTGCTTGTGCCATTGATAGTCTCCAGGAAGTTATTGTATATTGGTGAGCGGCTCACAGATTCAATCCTTTTCAGCTGACGGGAACTTGCCACATATACACGCTGTATAAACAGGAGACACATTGTTACAAAGTCAAATTATTGCATTTTGCTTTCAACTGAAGATCCAACTCAAGAACTGTTGCAATGAAATAACTAAAACTGAGTAAGCAAGATTAAAAAATATGATACAATGAATTTACAATGGTCTTGGGGAAAAAAGAAACGTGACAACTTATCTGCGAGTTTTCTTCTGATAAAACTTGTGAAGGATAAAAATTTCATTTTTTCTTGTCACACTACTAAGCACAACTTATCATGACTGAAAATTTTGCCCTGAGTTCCCTATAATACACTCTCCTTGCCTTCCAAATTTGGCATATGTTATTGTTTTCAACATAAATGCTCTTGGGAATATGCAGTCTTCCCTGAAGCATAATGAAAACAATAGTTAATGCAAAATTATAAGGGAGGGAGTAACAGAGAGAATACTCAAATAATACAACTTATCAGTCATGAAGAAGTTTGACTTTGTGTCTTGATCATCCCTGCAATAAACCATCTTACTGTATTCATACTCTATAGCAACCAAGCCTCATGTATGCCTTTATGTATTAATCTTTGATTGCAAGCAAGTTTATTGTACTTGTGAGCAACAAATTAGGATGATAATTCCAGAGCTTATACATGTACTAAATTTCTTAAAAATGGTTCCAAACGTTTTTGCCTAAAATATGAATGTTTTAAATCACAAGGTTATTTTGTCTCATTTATTTCAAGTATGTTTTCTTTAGTGAATGTTATAATATGCCTTTTGCACTGAGAGGTCATGTGTCATCATTTTTGTGAAAAAGAAAGTTAAATGATTTTGCCTTCAAAAAACCATTAGTGGGTCATATCTCAAACAAAATAATAGTTATTTAGTTTCTCAAACCCGCACCATTTTCTTAAAATGAGTAAGTTTGTAGCTGCATGGTCACGTGACCAAACGGTGATTTTTAAAACTATGAATTACCTATTTCTGAACAGAAGTTTTGCACTTAAACTTCAAGGAAATTGTTGAAAAGATGATGTGGAAACATTTTCAGCTCATCTGAGTGTAACTATCAAACGCTTAACAAGATAGAAGCAAAAAGTAGTTTGGCTGCCATGTTGGAGGGCAAACATGGCGGCCAATACAAATCATACTACTTTGATGAAAAATCAAAGTGCCATAAAATATCTCCATGAAATGCGTTTCCTCTCAAATTTCGGGTGTAAGATAATTTCTATGTGCTCCATCAATAAATTTTTGGCATCAGCAAAATTCCAACTCATTGTTTAAAGGAAGCATAATTGGTCACGTGACCTCTTAGTGCAAGTGGCCTATTGTAACATTAAAATACTGATTAGACAGTAAAAACATTTGCTTCACATTAAAGCTATACTGTACACTGTACCTGTATAAGAATATACAATACTCCCAAGGGAACAATAACTGCAAGGAAGATAGGTGTGGCAAAACTGATGGTAAAGATAGCACCGACCACACTAAAGAAAGTTCTAAGAAAGGTGATAACAGTTCTGGGCACAATATCATCAATACCACTGATGTCCTTTGAAAAGCGGTTCATAATTCTGCCTTGAGGGGTGGTCTCAAAAAATGACATAGGAGAGTGCATGATATTAACTAGCATGTTTTCATGTAGTTGACGTGAGGCAATTCTGGATCCAAGAGCCATACAAATGGATGCAAAGAGAACAAAGATGGCTTGTGACAAACCCAGGCCACCATAAACTCCAAGGAACAAGTCGCGCTCTTTGTCTGAAGTGACACTGGTTGAACTCCATCTTGCAAGCCAGATGCCTGATGCAACAGCACTTCCCTCTCCAATCAAGACAAACATAAAAATACATAAGGAGAGGAAGACAGTCAAGGACTTGGCATATGCCCAGAACACTGAAAATTTCACCTGCAAAAAAACAGCATAAAAAAATGGCTTCAGTGTAGTTATCGTAATGATTGCAGTGTAAGCTGACACTCAACCTAATTCACCAACCACTGATTTGACAGCAAGTTAGGTCCTTGCACCAAGTTAGAGTATAATAATCCATAATAATCCCTTTCTGGGCGATGAATACATACCCTTCCAGTTTTGGATTTTTCCTCTTCGATCATTTTATCGATCTGTTCTTGATCTGGTCTGGTCAGCTGACAGTCTAGATCAGCAGTATCAACAGTAATAACAGACAAGCTGTCAGCTCGTTTCCTTAGATTATTTTGTGGTACATCAATATGGCTGCTGTCGTCTAATCTCTCCAGGCTTTGCCCCATGCCCAAGTGCAGCCCATCTGTTTCCTCCACAATTTCTAGATCTGGTGTCTCAGCTATTTCATAAAAAAATGAATTATATATATTATACAAAGATAATACATAACATGTATGAGAAAAAACAAAAAAGAACTATGTCTGGTCCAAAGGAGATATTTATTAAGGTCCTGACCCTAGATGCATGACTACTCCACAAGGAACGTAACAAGAATGTTATAATGTCATAATAACCCAAAATATCAGTTAAGATCAAGCAAGGCTTCAAGGCTTGTGCATAGTTTCAGGCAGGAACATGACTCCACTGAATACCCATGTAAAACATTAACTTCTCTTCTTCATGTAGCATTTAATTTTGTTCGATCATCATCTTTTTCTTTTGTTACTTTTATGCTTCCAATGATGTGTTTGTATCACAACCTAGTTGTACATTCTTGAAACTCCCTGCAGATGAAAGGTAAAGTTTAAACCAAAGTACAACTGTTGATTACGTATTTTGTTTCCTTGCTATTATATGGCAGAGAGCTGCTGTGTGACTTCAAGTAGTAACTAACAGTCTGAAGCAGCAACAGTAATACTGTAATTTTTTTTTGTATACTTCTGCTCAGGTGCGGATCCTGACCATTGATGCGATTAGTTTAAGTCACTATACCATCAAAATTCTTGAAATACTCCAGGTCTTTACAGTTTTCTTAGTTTCACTATAAGTAAGAAATCAGAAAAAGACACTGACTGTATTCCAGGTTTGCTTGTTGTTCTGTTGCATACGTGCTCAAGAATTCAGCAAAAGCTCCTTGGTTTTTCACAAGCTCCTCATGTGTTCCAACCTAAAAAGACCAGTGCTGGAATCAATGGTGTATTTATGCTTTTCCTGCATGGATTAGCAGACAAGATATACTGGGACAAAGTTAAGCGATTTGCTTCTCGAAAATTGCTACAAAAACATGTTTAAAGTTGAGTTAAGCTGTTTCCTGCTCACTGTCTGGCTATTAAAAAAAAACTTACCAAAAAGCTGTTTGCAGGTCGTGTACTTTGTGGCCTTCTATTTCAGATGCAAAATATCAGCTTCCGAATTAGGCATGCCCAGAACGCAAAACTTTTGAGATAGTTTTTAGGTTTAAAAGTGACACAGTACCCCTCCCCACTAACTTTTCTTTCATTTTTATTGCCCCATTTTTCATAGTTTCTTTTGCAGGGCATTTGTATCATAGGCTTTATTTTGAGTGGAATTGTTTTTGGGAGAGATTTAATTATTGAACGATTAGATATGGAAGGAAGTGCGAGAAGCAGGGTTCGTATCTTTTTTTAAACAAAAAATTCAAGGACTTTTAATTTCAAGGACTCCATTCAGTGCAAAAAAGAGCCTTGAGTCTTGTTTAGTTCTTCCACAACATGGGTAATTTTATCCTGAAGGTCTTTCCGTGTTTGTTCCTTTCTCTTTGGAGTTCTACTTAAACTATGAAGTTAGCATTGAAATTCAAGGACTTTCCAGCACTGACTGCAATTTTCAAGGACTTCAATGACTTGCGAACGCTGGAGAAGATAGTGGAACAAGATTTTCCACCAAATTTTTGGGTCAACTTTACATGTTTTTTTTTTGCCTTTTTCTCCAGCCTCCTTGACTGAATCGTGTTCATTTTGCTACACATTGCAGCTGGAAAGATCTCTTTCCCCTGAACAAGTAAGATGACAAATTTGTCCTTGAAGCAGGGTTTGTCAAGGGATCGATGTGGACTAGCACACGCCGGGTGTTTAAGGTCAGTTCAGGGGCAAAAGGGTTAATTAGCCCAATAAACTTTTCAGCTAACAAATGGCCAATCACTTACTTCTGATATTCTGCCATCTTGTAACACTATTATCTGATCAACTTGAGGAAGAAATGAAATGCCATGTGTAACAAGCACACGTGTCTACAATGTAAGACATTAAAATGCAATATTTTAGGTTTCTGACTCTCCATTTTTTAGGGCTGCCTTATTAAGTGTACAAGTACAATATGGCATCAAATTTAATTTAAGGGCATCTCACTATATATACTGCACCTTCTTTCGCAGCTTTCCTCTTGGTCCAATAACTTTATCAAAGATGTGTTTCCCCACATGTGAATCAACAGCGCTGAGTGGATCATCCAACAGATAGATATCAGCATCAAAATACACCGAACGCGCCAAGCTCACTCGCTGTTTCTGTCCTCCACTCAGGTTTATGCCCTAAAGAAAATAAACATAATATAATTATATTTTTCAATCTTTTTAGAAGTATATAAGTAGTTTATTATAAGTTTACATACAAATCTTTTGACTAGAAGAGATATTTAGGAAGATGGATAGCAGGAATAACAAGTAAAAAAGTGTATGCCCATGACAGCTTTTTGCATTTTGGAATAGATTGTTGTGTTGTTTTAATTGTCAGGAGAAATAAGATAACAGTGATCAGCACCTTTTCACCAATTTCTGTCAGATCTCCCCCAGGTAAGATATCCAGATCAGTTTGTAGAGCACAAGTATGAATCACTTTAGCATAACGCTTCCAGTCAAATGTCTTTCCAAACAGAATATTGTCCCTCAGAGTAGCATTCTGTATCCAGGCTTGTTGAGGTACATATGCAACAGATCCCTGAAATCAAAGAACGATAACTGGTATTTCTTACTAAAACTCCATTTGTGGCTGTATGCTGTGTGTGTCAAAGACACTGCAGTCATTTTATAACTGAAAATGAATTTGAAGTACATGCTATGTACACTGCATGTAGTAGAAAATTCTGTCATGTTAAGATAAAATATAAGAAATTAGAAATTAATGAAATACACCTTATTATTATTTACACCTGAACATAAACTTTGCCATGTTGTTTTTCAGTTTCTCCAAGTAGTGAAGATAACAGAGTAGATTTCCCACAGCCGACTTGACCAACCACTGCCACAAGTGAACCACTTGGAATATTTAAATTTATGCTGCAAGAAAAACCAACCTAACATTACCAAGGGCAAAATTTCCAGGAAAACCACAACAAGAATAATGCTCAATAATGTTTGCAAGGCTGATGATGAAACAGAGACTTGTAAATAAAAAGAAAACTGTTTGTGATTCCTGGAAGATCTGAGTCTGACCCTTTCTCAATAGTTGCAGGGTCAAGAGATCGAGGTAGGGTTTCATCCCCCAAAAGGATTAAAGTAGCAGCAAGCTAAGAGCTGGGGGTTTAAAAAAATAAAACATAAAACTCTGAAGTTAAATGAAACTCACTCTTTAAGTGTTGGTTTCTCACTTTTATCCCAGCTGAATGTTCCATTTTCAACATGGATGGCTTGTGAACCGACTAAAATTTAAAACAATTCAAGGTTAAACATGCCATGACTAACCTTTCCAAGGTCTTTAAAATTTTAAAAGACAGTAAATACAATGAGATTTGGTAAACAGTTAGTAACATGCTTGTCACATACTCTTTCAACTAGACTGGCTTTACAAACTAGGCTCAAATGACTTACTGTGGTCTGGCATGGTCTTCTCTACATTACCAGGATCAAGCTCATCAAGACTAAGGAAGTCTGTCAAACGTTTCAGAGAGACTTGGGCCTGAAGTCACAAGATGTTATCTGATCAACAGTTTACCAAAATTACCAGTCCAACAAGTTAATAAAATGCTTTGTGTAGAGGAAGGAAAAAATCAAATGTAATTACCTGGATTATGCTAACTATTATATTTGGAAGCATAACAAGTGGAAAGCGTAGAATATTGAACAGTGAAATGGCAACAAAGGCTTTGGATGCTGTCAGTTCATTTCCAGTCAAAACATAAATTGCAAAAGTGGCTAAGGACACCTGTGGTAGGAAACAGATATCATATCAGACACTTGAAACTCCTGCACTGTTTAACAGTAAGTTACAATATTAATGTGCAGTAGAGAGGTCATGTATTAGACAATGGTGATCCAGCAAAAAAAGAAAATGAGTGGAGTCAGAGTGGCCAAGTGATTAGAGTGCTGGACGGGTAATCCGGACAAGGCCCCTAGTTTCTCCTTGCAGCTTAAGCTGGATTGGTTCTTGGAAGTTCCAAGTTACAATCCTCTGCTACAGATGTAGAACAGCCAAATAATTTAACTCCTACCATTTGGGATTCTTATAACATTGCTATGCTCCATCTGAATTATTTGTTTCATTGCCCCTTCTAAAAAGCATGATATGGGAAGAGGATAATTGACTATTTAATTTATTATTATTTTTTTAATATAATTAATATTGTATCCCTGAAGAAACTAGAAACTCATACTTACCAGAAATGGAGCACAAGTGAAAGTAAAAGCAAATGATGCATTGAGGTAGGAAGCATTCTTCAAATGTTTTAATTCCTTGTTGCGAAGCTTAGAAATGCTTTTCATAAATGAAGTTTCCCAGGCATAAAGTTTAAGGACCTGAGAATCAATAATAAGTTTGTTAATTAATACCAAGTGATAAGTAATAAAGTGATGTATAAAATGAAGAAGAAAAACTCAACAACAACAACGAAACAAAGTAAACAAGCACACAAAAATAAAAGGCTCTCCTATGGTGCAAGTCAGTGTGGTGTTATATTACTCTGCTCCCTAGCTTCTGAAAGGTGCTGCATTATTTCTCTCTACTGCAGAAGCCTAGGGATAATAACTTCTTTTTTTATTGGAATACCCTGCAGGAGCATCTGCCACAGAGGATTCAAGTGGAACCATACACTAATCACACAAAAAAAATGCAGTGATTGCCATGTACGACCATGACCATGACCAAACCCTCAGAGCTATGTTAATGACATTAGCTGGGCTGGGGTTTAGAAAAAACAACTATGAACAAAATGTTGCTACAATGGGACAGAAACTTACACACATGACTCTTTAGTACCTACTTATATCAAATATGTGGTCAGTGTCGAGAGAGTATAGGTGGAATGGAGATAAGCTTTTATTTTCAATATTGAGAAGTAGCTTGGCATATTCTGCCAGTCCCTACACCATATTAGACAAATGATTTCCTGCCATTCCATACAACAGAATGATAATGACTAGTACGAATAAATACCTTCATTCCATTTAGAATCTCATTCATCATTTTCAGACGTAAATCTTTTGAAGTCATTTGCTTAACCTACAACGGGTAATTTTAATTTTTTTAAAAACAAAGATCATTTGACACTGTGCTGGGCACCCTTGAATTCATAGCTTCCGTTCGTTGGGCTCCCTAGAATTTTTCTTAGAGCACAGCCATGAATAATAAATACAGTGAAGAAGATAGATAGATAGAAAATCATGTAATGACAGTATAATGATGAAAATGGGATCTGTCAATGATAACATCATTAACAATAGTGATTAAAAAGTTAGCCTAGAAGGAAATTGTAAGTTAATTAAGATTAATTAACCACACAAATAATATTGTCATTAACCCTGTATATAGTTCAACTCCTATCTGTATCTTATTTGCATCAAAACTTAGAGGACAGGGTTGTTTTTACGTCCATCACTAAAGGTGACTGCTATTTGGAAAAAATAGAACTCAAGATTTTTAATTAAATGAATTTTCATGTACTTAGATAGTAAAAAATAAAATGTGTTACAATAATACCTGAATACTTCTTGCAAATCGGCTGACAAGAAGATTCACAGGAATCAAAAGTATCATAACTCCCACACCAGCGAGGATGGATACACCCATTGTATTGTACAAGAAATACAATGATACTATAATCTGAAGTGGAGCAGACCAGACAGTGTTTACATAAGTCATTAGATCCATAAGACGCTGTGCATCCACTGACATGAGGTTAACCATTTCTCCTGCTGTGGATTCCTTCCGTGCGCTATTGTTCAGGAGAAGAGCCTGGACACAACACATATTTAATTTAACAACAATAATAGAGTGGTTTTACTTAACCCTTAAAAAAGATAGTACATTACTATGCAGTGTTACACTCTAATTTCATTGATATATAATTTGTCTCCTTTTGTTTGCTTGTAACTATTTAGCACTATCTGTTAAATATTGTCTCATGGGTTAAGTTGAAATCACTGTATTGAACAGTATAATAAACATTCTCTAATGTGTATGAGTAAAAGTACTTTCATGTATTTTGAGATTTAGGCAAGTACACAGTGTATATGTTCTTTTAGAACATTATGTGTTGGTTATATGCACTTTAACAGCTTTTAACTGTATATTAATAAGAAAATAGGGATGATCATCTTGTTGCGTATTTGACAAATGCTTTGGATCAGTTTAGCCTGCACTGCGCCATTACCTTTTCATAAACCATGCCTATAACAGCTGTTCTTATTTTCATTCCAAGAGTAAAAACAATGTGAAAGTATTGTTGAAGAGCAATGGACTGAGTTAAAGCCACTGCAAATATGCTGATGCTTAAAACATATCCTCGCCATTTTCCACTTGGGTTGTTTTTATCCTCAGTATAGGCAATTATTAATCTAAAACAAATAATAATTAAGGTCACAGATTAAAAAGACTTAAATTAAAATATTTAGTTAACAATAAAGGCATCCCTTTTCTAGTAATTGCAACCTGTATGATCAAGTTTCTGTTTGATAATATGCTGTCATGGATCTTACTTTGCAGTAGCCAGGTGAACCCCCAAAATGTTAAGAGGCTGTACGAATTTTGAAGAACAGTTGAACCCTGCATTACAGACACCCACTTAAAATAGACACCTTGTTATTACAGGCAGTTTTCCTTGTCCCTGGGGTATTAGTAAGCCCTCACATTTTCGCTATTCATATATGGACACTTTCTTTGGCCACGGGGTTTGACTACATTATTAAAGACTAAACTAAAAATAAACAAACAAACTCAAGTCTGAACTAAATGTCCTACTTTACATCTTGCTTTATGTTACGCACACTACAAAATTTAGAATTCAACAGAAACTTTAAATTCATCTGCAAAAATTGATGGTGATCACTCAACAAACTCCAGCATATAGAATGTTAGTTAGCAACTATGCATGTACAAATCATTGCTATAATAAAAAAGCTGTAAACAAACCTGAGTATCTGAGGCTGTACAAACATGATACAATCATTTAACAGTTTAAAAAAAATTGCCAACAGGAAGCTGGAGCGGAAGTGTCCAACTATAATTCTAGGGAGTGATGGTCTTTTTTCCTTTTTCTTATCATCTGAAGAAAACTTTACTTCTTCCTCAACATCATCAGCCTTAAGTTCAGCTCTTTCATTATCAGTTGGTTCCATATGCTGAGATCTAGATGAAGCTCTGGAAAATATAATTAGAACAGAAAGTTTAGATGACTTATTAGTATACGCCACTTCCACATTTCCCATAATGCACCTTATTTGCCCCTCCCCCCCCCCAAATTTTGCATAACCTTTGTTTTTCATTTCTCCTGGGTATTACAGCCGTCCATGGAGAAATTGAAAACAATGCTTATGCAAAATTTTGGGGGGTAAAAAAGGTACATTATGGGAAATGTGGAAGTGACGTATACAGTATTATAACATCTACACTGTACTTGTAAGTGGTACAATTATGCATCAGTCAATTCCAGCTGCGCCCCTAACCCTAATGCCATTTCGCTATGTAATTCTGGCTTGATAAGCAGTGAAGAAATGCATGCATAAAATCAAGCACATGCATTTACAACCCTCTTCAATTTTTTCCTGTCCTTAACAGATGATCAAATCTGCTTTCTTTCCCAGTAAAATCCTCTGTGTAGATATATTCTGATAGAAAATTGTGTGCATGTTAAAAGCTCGGGAATGGCCCCGCGGTTTGCAAATGCCAGGCCCCTGGGCAGCACAAAATTTGCAAATGCCCCACCCCAGGACTGATGAGGCTGGCAAATGCACTGCAGTAGCCCGGGGACGGGAAAGGGGGGGGGGGTGGGGCGATGGCTGGGCGCAGCTGGAATTGACTGATGCATAACCTGTTTAACACTGCAGCAGCTGTTGTAATGTTGGCTCATTCTGACAGGGTCGTATACTTAACAAAAATTCTCAATGTCTGATAAAATTTATCACTATATAATTTTTCACTATAGTGTGTGCTTTTTTATCTTGAATATACCGTCAAGTAGAGGTGAACTCAATCTTTTCTCAAAATTAGTTTTCTCTTTCAGAAATTCTATGATCCATGCATCATTTAAAAAAGTGTTTTTAACTTTGAGGCTGGCAAACAGGGGGTGAAAGAATAATAAATGGTAGCCTGCAATGCAGTTGTATCTTTGGAAGGGTGACAGAGGTTTGTTTATGTCCATATTGCTGTAGAAGCCATCTTATTTCATAACAAAAGACCAAAGAATAGGGATCTCTAGCTAGTTGTTTAGGCATTAGGGTAAAAGAAGGAAACTCCTCTATTTTTTGCAATTGAATATGACAGTTTCAACATGGTGATTTGATAAGAAAGAAACATCGGGTCAAACCAAAGAGCACATCTGCAATGTAGGCTTAAGTGATTATAAAAAATTACAGATTTCTCACCTGAGGGAGGTTTCAGCTTCCTTCCACTTTTTTCTTAATGGTGGCACTACTGCTAAAGCTCTGTTTGATTTTTTTAAAGCCCACAAATCGGCATCTGTCAAGGGCCTCTTAAAACCAGTATAGATCAATCTGCCAAAACAACAATCGTTTTGAGCACATTAACTTACTTTATGAAGGAATAAGATACTAAGAGGGAAACAAAGTTTCACTCAGAAAAACTTTTTGCCATGACCTCTTATTTTTTGTTATTATTTATTATATTTCAAAGAAGGAAAACATTATTTTCTTGGTCATTGTAACATTGACTTAATGGATTTGTCAGTGTTCCTTTGTGTTGCTTTTTTCTTGCCACAAGGATTCTTTCAGCCAGCATTGCTTATAAACAACAACAACAACAACAACAACAACAACAAAATAAGACAATAGCAGTATTTGTTGTAAAACTTCTGAACAATTTAACAGTCCTGTTTACCTATTCAGCCACCAAAATGAAATCCTGTAAAAAATGTTGGTTGAATCTTCTGGACAGGGATCCTGCAAAAAAGATACAGTATTTATTTATTTATATATATTTATTTTTTAATCATCTTTCAGAATAGAAAACTGGGCTCTATGTGCATGGAATACTGGTATACATGTACATTGTGTGGCATTATTACTTTAGCAAATATTAAGTACATTGAAGTCTGTAACTGCTAAGAAAGACACTAAACAGACGGCACCACACTTGCCATATTGTGGATGTTTTGGTGGTTCGCCACAACAAAACTAGAGGAAAAGACGCAGTCTCTGCAATGCCCAAAATGATTAATAGGAATGCATAAAATTGTCAAAACAACCCATTTTGAGCCAACAATCACATGAGAACAAGCTGCTGTATGTGCTTATAGCCAGTAAAACTGCACAGCCTGTATAAAGTACTGTTTACAGCTAGTGTGACTGCAGACCTTTCGACTTTCCCATCTCCTTGAAATTTACCTAGTAATAAAGTAATCATTACAAAATACAAGAAGACGTAGCTTACCCTATTAACCAAACTTTTCTGCACTGGAGCATGAGGAAAAAACTTAAAGTCAACTGACATATTCAACAAACCAGCTGTTAACTCCTCACCATTATCTATTGCTTTTGACCTTCAACCAAGTAACATAATTCATTAACATATAAGAACATCATCAATACCACCAGATTACCATAACACCATATTTTAAAAAAATTAAAACAATACTTATCATTCCTTTATGGAATTATTACTTAGAGAAAAATAATAAATAACTACATAAGAGGAAAATAAACTAGATGTGAGAAGTTCAATATTTCGGTTACACAGCTTTATGTAAAAACTATGATGATGACTGTTCACCTTTGTTATGATTGGCGACAAAATTGTTGCGACAGTACATGGTCCTCAAATCCTTGGGTAACTTTGGAGAACACAACAATACATACTACTCCCCTCTCCCCTCCATTTAAAGTTGGGTTTCATTTGTCATTTGCTGTAAACATGGTCTATTGAGAGGTGTAGCTGCCACTTGCTAAGTGGGATAAGTAATACATGAATAGAAAGTCTGAAAGTGGCCATCGGTTCAAAACAAAAAGAGGACACAGGGTCTCAGAAGTAAAGAGACACCGACCATCAGCATACTATAACACAATTTATAAAAATAATATAATGTCAAAATATTTAACAATAATCTTCTCAGCAGGTTTCATTGTTCTATTCAGTGATTTGAACTAGCCTATAACTTACTCTTCATCGGTTAAATCATCCTTTAATGGCACCACACATGTGCTGGGGATGTAACCTTTCTCTTCACTCTCGATATTCTTTACATAAAGCCACCAGTCAACAATACCGCCCAACACTTCAAATTTGTCTCTGTTTTTAACTAACAACTGTGCTGACAATTCAGGGGCTACAGCTTCTTCAGCTTGACGACCATCATCCTCTTTGGGTAGGTGTTCTGTCACTGCTATTACCAAGAGATTCTTATCTTCTTCCATCACAAAGATCAAGTGCTTATCTAGGAAAATTAAAAATCTTCTAGGTTGCTCGAACGTAAGACCTAGCATTCTAGGTAAATTTGGGTACTGACTTGTGGCACCTTTCTGAATACCTCATTCCCAGGAAATGTCCCATTAGTTTGGGGTTGGGTGGGAAACTCCAAGTTACAACTTTCATAATTCAATACAAATAGATTAAAAATAGATATAATACTTTAATACTACTAATTGCATATAAAAACTGTGTAAGTGTCCTAATGATATTAAAGGGAAATGCTAAAAACTGAGTTTGTACCTTTCTGTAAGGCACAATTGCAGAGATGTTGTTGCTACAGCACAAACAGACCTTGTCACAGTTTTAAAAGCCATTCTGTCGCGTAGGCAATTGCGTAAGAAATAACAGTACTTGTATGAGAATCTAATGTCCAATAATTTTTCCATAAAATGGCTGTTCTGAAAAAAATATGAATTGTAAACTAAAGCTACACAGCAAAGGATTCTACTAACAAATTTTGGGGGCTGTATCTCTGCTTAAATTTCTCCAGACCCTTGCTTTAGATTTTCCAAGTATTTGTCTGCAATTTTTCGTCGGAATTTTAGTTGGCAGGAAGAAAAATTTTTACAGACTTATGTGCTGAAAATTTTAAAAAGTGGTTCTAGTGCATGTAACCCCCCTCAAATTTTTCAGTAGAATCCTTGGGAGTTTACAATTCATAATATTTTTTTCAGAACAGTCATTTTTTGGAAATTATTCGGCATTTGATTCTCATACAAACACTGTAATTTCTCACATGGTTGCCTACCCGTCAAGATGGCTTCCAAAACTGTGACAAGGTCTATTGCATGGTGGGGTCTTGGAAAGGCAGTGAGAGGTACAGGTGTGATCCCGAGTGGTCATAGATGCCGTACCACACCCTAATAAGGCACAGGTCTCACGTCAAGTGTTAAGGCTGGTGATGATATATAAAAAGAGAGTCACATTACCGTGGGTAAAAAACCATGACATAGCAAATTTTCAAATAAGTTTGTTCGACATTGGTTATAAAAATACATTGTGAAAGGAAACCAAAAGCATCACACTTATTCGACACCTCACACATCCTCCACACGGAAAACCCACACTACATATTTTACATTTTCTGATGCAAGATATTATAAACAATTATAGATTGCCAATTGTAAAGTTAAGATCTGGATTAAGAAGCGAAGTTCAAGTTTTGGCGCGTGATCATAAACCAGTCATAAACTTTCAGGTGACCTTGCTCTGTGATACTCTGTGATGTATACATACCTAAACACGCTGCATACGTAAAAGTCTTTATAAAAACAACTCCATAAACCTGAATAATTATATTGGCACTAAATGATCGCGTGCATCGGCCCCTGTTGACTGTTGTTCCCTTGTGAGTTGTTTTAATAAAATAAAGACGTGAAAATCTTAGAGGGGACTGGAAATAAGAGTTGTAAATACGTCGATCTGTATTCGTTGAATCACCGAAGGTTAGTCGAACATCTGCCGAGTCATGGGGGGCAGCTTCCCGGGCAGCTGGCGGGGTTTTAATTTTTTTCATTTTACCACACATATCTTTCCTTATATTGAAAAAGGTTTTAATAGTTATCAGGTAGCAGGAATACTTCGTACCTATTGTAGTCCATGATTATGTTTGTCGGCTGAATGGCTCTGTTGAAAAGATGATTACCTACCGGAGCCGAACACCTCCCGAGCTGCTGCTATTATTGTTTGCTGTAAAACGATCGTAAACATGTGCAGGGTCAACCGGTCAGTGCGTGGTTTGTTTGGAGGCGGTGCTGAACTGGGGAAGCTACCTGTTGTATTGGTCTTTGGGACTTATTTTTTTGGTAATTGAATTCGATTTTTCGCAGAGCGTTCTGCATTCATCTGGTTTAATTGAATCAAAACGATTTCTTTCATAAGAGAAGTATTTCTTGGTGTCAGTTTCAGAAGGTGCAACGTGCGTCCCACCTTCTGCAGAAAAGCTTAAGCTTTTATATTTTTTCAGTAGCAAGCATTATCGTTTGAACTCGTGGTAAGTCGTATTTAGAGTAACTAATCATTTATATCACGAAATATGATTGTGTTAGTGTTCGTTTAAACTTCACTTTGCTGAGTAGCTAACCCCAAACAACTCTCGCGTCTGAATTTAGCAAGCGAAGAGCTATCCGTTACAGCAGTAACTTGTAAGCTTTATATTACACGGTTCGCTTGAATAGTTTTGTAACGCCACTTTAAATAGTGTTTGATGTGAGTTGACAAAACTGAAAAGCTCATTCGTCTTCTTCCAACCTCTGTGACCTCGCCTTTGCCGTAGATTACGGCAGCTGCAAGCAGCTTTTCGGTTTGCATTGTATCGGATGAAACAAGAAGCCGGCATATCGCATCGCGCATGCATGTTTTGTATTACTTTTAGCGGTTTCATTCTGTTTGTGGACTTGTCACACAATTTGAGAAACAACAGACTTCATGCGAGGTTTTTACTGAAAAAAAAGCAACTGCAACTTTCAGTATTTCAGTAACCGTAGATCATGTTATTTGGGTAGATAAAGCTATTTTTCGTTTTAACAACACCAAAAACAGCTTTCTTTTAAAGTCGAGCCCAATAACTTGTACGATCAGGCCACAAGACAATGAAACCAAAGTGGTATAAACCAATCAATTTTAAGTCTTTTTGTGAGTTGTATATTTATTGTTTTGGATAATCTGCATTAATTTTTATACCTGCAGAAGGAACTAAAAAGGGAAAATAGTCAAGCATAAATACAACTAGAATATAGTTCACACGTTATCTTCCCCCGCTTTTTTATGATTATTATTTTGTACTGTGCTCAAAATACCTTGATGATAAAAAGAAATGGAAATCAAACGGCCAAACCTGTGTTTGATAAAATTCAGATACCGTAAATAATAGAAAAATAACAATATAGAAATGTCAAAGTCCATGATGCTGTTAGCTTCTCAAAATGGACAGATTCAATTTTTGAGCACAGACAAGTTAGCAGTTAAGCAAATGGTCAACCAAACAGGAGATGGCACACACTAATTAAAACAACGTAAAAGAAAGTTAAGTGAAGTGTAAATGAAGATGGCAACAGATTAACTAAGAACCAATCTCATACCCAGATCACTAGTCTGCTTCACAGCCGTTCTTTGTATCGTCACACAAGACACAAGGCTCCTCCCCACAAACAGCTGCTGAGAATCGAATCAAATTCCTTTCCTTTGTGTTTGTGGTCTGACGAACAAACCAATCATGGATAAGAACCTGACAAATTATATATGAGCTGCAGGGCGCTAGGTAGTGAACACACTTCTCAGTTTCATCAAATCAATCAAATTTGGACAGGCTTTGTGTCAAAAGGAGAAAAATGGTTAATTTGCAGGAAAAAAAAGTGATATAAGCAGTAACAAAGTTCCAAAGGTGCAAAAAATGGTTTGATAGGCCTACCTACACATGCATGTGTATAATCAATTTCCAGGACCAGATGTGTTCATTGTGTTTCTTTACATGTTAGCACTAAACTCTCAAGGGTAGTTATTCAAGCAAAAGCAATCTTATAAATTATTGATAAGACTTTACCTGACAACTTAATTGCGTTTGACGAAGGAGAACGCTTACAATCTGTACCATACACAAAGTACTAAGCACTCTGTACGCCATGTGATTTCATGGTTAGGACGCCATTTTGGACTGGCCTGGCACACTTTGCCTGGATCTCATGTGTTCAGTTTTTCTCGCCCGGGAGCTTGTATCTATTTTGTGACACTCATTCACAGATGAAACTGATTACCACTGGTTTGTTTATAGGTTTTCTCGCAGTTTTCAATTAAGTTTTGTTATTATAGGAAAATTTCCATTCTACGATAATCGGATATGTAGATATTATGTTAACAATGTGTTTTGCACTAATTCTGGGTGTGTTGTATTTTGAAAACAGTGTTAAGTAGATGGGTCGTGTTATCCTAGTGTCACACAATAAGGGTTTAAAGTGATATGCGACGCTTAAACTTGTCAGATAACTTTAATTTTCTGTATCCCAATTTATTGATCATCCTATAGTGCAAAAGAATATCTTGAGGATCATAGTCAGTGTTTGACCTGTTGTCGCTTACATGTACTTTACTTAGAGGATTAGCCAACTATATGTAAAAAGTACAGTACTCTGTTGCATTTTTGAGGAAAAATGAAATAGTAGTGAATTGTAAAGTGGGAGGACAAACAATAACACTGATAAAGACGGCTGCTGATATTCATATTGATAAAATTGTTTGATTTTGATTTCTTGATATTACAAGCCCATCAGGTTTTGCACCCCCTTCCCACTACCACTCACTACCCACCACCCTCCCCCTCCTCATCGAACCCACTCCCCTAATTTGCAATTAATACTAGTAAACACATCATTGTTGTGCATCACATTTGCTTGACTTGCCTGCTGCTGCTGCTGCCGCTTATCTTGTAAATTTTGAAAAGGACTTGACCGTGACAACACTACTCCAGTTGATTGCTTGTTTTCATGTGAAGGTTTTAATATTGTTCTGTCATTCAAACATGTAATACAAATAAAACTAAAACTTTGATTGAAGGAGTCACCATTTTTAACAATAAATGTGGTACAAACACCTTCCAGATAGAAAATGGAATCTGAGACCTGATTGGATAATATACGGAAAGTAATGTGAAGGTAATGAACAGCCATGAAGTAGACTACCAGATCACTTGTTATTGAAGCTAATGTTGGGTGATGGTCAAGTAAGAGAATTTAATTTTTCTGATTGGCTACTCGAGTGCAATCTGCCGAGGTGCAGATGGAGTAACATGAGTGAGTGTAACCTTTGTTGGTTCAGTTCAAAGTCTTTGCACAATTCTTCTTAGTTTATCAGCATACAAAATAGGTTTTGTGTTGAAAGAAGTTTTTTATTTTACCAGTTTACATGATCATTTGTTTATCTTAATGAAGGAAATAGAAAGTGTTATTTTTCGTGTTTATATGTACTGCACTGTAATGGGATAAAATGAAATGAGTGTTGCATGCAAATAATAATAAATTATAGTAAAATAATGAATAGAGAAAAATTGTAAATGATTCTTTTGAAAAACAAGTATAAATGTATTCGTTTTGATACCTTACAGATGTTTTCTCATAAATTAATTATCATTTTAAAATGAAATTCCCGAAGCTGTTCACCCAATAATCTTTTTTTAATTATTTGAAATTCACCTTTACGCCAAAGAGATGCACTGTTTGCTTTATATGGAAAGCTTTATAATAGGTGTAATGTAAAAATGAGTTCATTGTACCATATGCAGTTTTCCTTTTTACTGTATTTTTGTACTTTTTCATGTTCATATCAGAGGGGACAACAAAATACATGTAGAACAGATAAAAGGTTTAATTGAGCTTTGAATCTATCCAGCATGGAATGGCCTTGTTTGCTTTAAGTCTCATAAGGAATAAACCCAGGAAAATTTACTTACTGTATGAAATTGTAGTTCCTTGCCAATTCTAAGTTTGTAAGGTGTTATGGAACTGCTTGTAGCTAGTTATCGTAAATAAGTGTTTTTAATTTATCCTGTATTTTTTATGTTAAGAGTACGTATTCTCTAAATAAGAACTATGAAACAAATTTTTCTTTTGCAGACAATGGCAGATGATAAAGATAACAAGGATAATAAAGAGGAACAACATGAGATGAATGAAGTGAATGGAAATCCAGAAGATGTAAATATTGAAATCCCATCTCTCTGTAGTAACAGTAAAATGAAGATGAATTTTTCGTTTGTGGGATTTTTGTGATGAGCTAGTGTAATACGGTTGGGACCCGTTTCTCTTCTGGATTTTTTCCTGAAGGGAGGAGGCGGATGTATACAAATTACGGCATTCCTAGTTAGAATAAGGGAAGACTGTTGTTGTGGCTCGCAGCTTGTTATAGAAGAAAGTTTCAGAATGACTGTAGATTATCAGTCAGTGCAGTGAGGAGGGACCAGTGTTCTGTGAATTTAGGAGAATAGTGGCCAAAATGAGCACATAAACATGTTATGACTGTCGTGTTCATATTAGTCACACTCTTAGCAAATTTATTACTTGCTGGACTAACATGTAAGCATTTAGATCCAACCTCAGGAAAATCAATTTGAATTTTGTTCTGTAAATTATAGTCTTATATATACGGTATCCTTTATCTTATTTCAAATTTAACTTTTTTTTCAAATTGCTTCAACAGGATGTTAAGGAAGATGGTGACAAGGCAGCAGCCACAACTCCTCTTGTTAAACATGAACCTGCAGCTGCTGATGATAAAAAAGGCAAAAAGGGAAAGAAGGGTGAAAAGAAGGACAAACTTGATGATCTGAAACAGGAACTGGAAATGGTAGAGTCCACTCTCATGCTCAGGCTGATGTATGGCAATAATATCCTATTCTAACTATTGCTTCCACTTTTCAGGAGTGGCACAAGATTCCACTGGATGACCTTGAAAGTAAACTTGATACTGATCTTACTAAAGTAAGTGAAATCATTTTGATCTGTCCCTAATGGTTGTTTTGTTTTCTACATGTACAACTACTCATTAAGATCTACATGTCCTTTGACAACATGCCTAGAGTTCACTGGCTTTTAAAACAGGTCTTTCTTGTTCACTTGGGTAGCGAGAAGTCGCTTCATCCCACCTGCTCACAGAGACAGCCACATAAGAGAACTTATTATAATAAATAAATTCTCTTGGGTTACCAGGTTTATGATGTTTCTGTGATTTAGTCTCATATAAATATTTTCCAGGGTCATACGCAGGAGAAGGCAGATGAGCTGTTTGAACGTGATGGTCCTAATGCACTGACTCCCCCACCCACCACCCCTGAGTGGGTGAAGTTCTGTAAACAGCTGTTTAGTGGCTTTGCTTTGTTGTTATGGATTGGCGCTATTCTCTGCTTTATAACCTACGGAATCAAACTGGCAACAATTGAAGAACCTGAAAAAGATGATGTAAGAATAGTTTTTGTCGGTTTCTTGGCAAACCTTGTGAATACCCTAATTCTTATCAGTTTGTTTTTATCAAGAATACTATACAATGTATGCAGCATAATGTGACCTTTTAAACAGTTGATCAACAACGGTCACTTTGTGTCAAATTTTCAGGGTAAACAGTAACAAAAGTTGATACAGTACTGAGGAAATGTGATAAAAATTGATTTTACTGGAAGCATATCCCTACTGTCACTACTGTCTGTAGTGTTATTTTCCTATGGTTTTCCATTGTCCAGGCCCTTATCTCAACACACAATATATGAGTTTGCTCTCTTGATGTCAGGCTGCTAATGACCTAAATTATTACTATTTTTTGATGACAAAAATTAATAGTATTAATTGGTTTGCAAGGCTGTCTTAGCTCCATTTTTCCTTGCATTCATAACCATAATTTGAGATGTAAAGCTGCAGGCTACTAGTCTTGTATGAAATACTTACCCCCCTAATGAATGTGTAATCTAATGAAGGCCATGTCGTAATATTATTTTAGCTTTACCTGGGTATAGTGCTGGCCACAGTGGTTATCATCACAGGATGTTTCTCCTACTATCAGGTCAGTTTCTTTTCCCCTGCTACTCTCTTATTATAGTTAACCAAAACTGAAATTTAAGGAAAGCTTTATGTAAAGTTGAGATACTGAACTTAAATACTAAGCCTACATAAATTTAACCCCAGTACGAAAGGATAAAACCTCTATCTTTGCCATTTGGCAAAGATAGAGTGACTGGTCCAAAGTTTGACTAAGAGCTCCGAAATTGCCATTTATGTTGCCTTAAATTATTGATTTGGTTAGGAATTGGTGCTAGCTAGTAAAAGGAAAGGATTTAATAACTCTGCAACCAAGCTTTTCTGTCATTTATTTATTGATTTACCATTACAGCAACCCCTCCCTCATGCATATGAAGGATTATGTATTTTGTTTGGAATTGGGGTGGGGGAATAACACTGCTTTAAGTTCCTTTTGCCCTTCACCCAGCCCCATTTTCCTCCTCTTAACTGTAAAGACATTGCTCATAGTCCATGTGTGCCCATTTTGTTAGTATTTGGGTTAGGGAACTCTTTTGAGAGTTTGTGACTTAAAGAGAAGGTTAATATTCAAGCTACCAGGGATGATCCTATGATAAAGAGAAAAAAAGAAGGTCTACCATAAAAACGTTCTAATTTCACTGATTGCTGATTACTTTTTTGAGTAAAGGAGGCCAAGAGCTCAAAGATTATGGAAAGCTTCAAGAAAATGGTTCCACAGGCAAGTTTATTCAGTTTTCTTCATTGCAGAGGCTTCTGGGTCTGTTAGGTCTGTTTTATGTTAGGGCAAAATCAACGAAAATGTATTGAAGAAATCATGGCAATAAGGTTTTGGTTCTTAGAATTAAAAAGCAGTTTATTTTGAAGTATGCATAATTTTATCATCACAAATATATTCCATTACAGGAAGCCACTGTTCTGCGTGATGGGGAAAAGCACAACATAAATGCAGAAAAGCTTGTCATGGGAGACATCATCTATGTGAAATTTGGAGATAGAGTACCAGCTGATATTCGTGTTATTGAAGCTCAGGGTTTCAAGGTAGGCTTTACAAATTGGGGCTGTGTCTAATTACGATTTTTCTAGAGAAGTCAGTGTTATGAACAATATAATGCATGCATGTACTAGTTTAATTTTTGATTTTGTTTCTGTGTTAAACAAGGTGGATAACTCTTCTCTGACTGGGGAATCAGAACCTCAAGCTCGCACACCAGAGTTTTCCCATGAGAATCCCTTAGAGACAAAGAACTTGGCGTTTTTCTCCACAAATGCAGTTGAAGGAACGTGCACAGGAGTTGTTGTCCAGATAGGAGATGATACCGTCATGGGTCGCATTGCCAACTTGGCAAGTGGATTAGGATCAGGAAAAACTCCCATTGCTTTGGAAATTGAACATTTTATCCATATCGTCACTGGTGTTGCTGTTACTCTTGGAGTGACCTTCTTTATTCTTTCCTTGGTTCTAAAATACTCCCCACTTCAATCTGCCATATTTTTAATTGGAATAATTGTGGCTAATGTACCTGAGGGCCTTCTTGCAACTGTTACGGTAATTTTGCTTTTACTATAGTTGGAACTACTATGTAAAGAGCACTTATCTTTGTACATGTTGAAGGGTTAAATTTGATTTCAGGTTAATTTTGATTTAACTTAGGGTGATTCTCAATTTCCTTTGTCAACTAGCCCTAAGGGACAAAGGAAATTGAGAATCGATCTAGGTTAAAAAATTTTAACCTGGAATCAAATTTAACCTGTAACATACACATTGCACTATCAACACTTGCTCTTCTCTTTCTCTAACAATTCTTGATGCATGTTTTAAAGGTTTGTCTTACTCTGACTGCAAAACGCATGGCTGCCAAAAACTGCTTGGTAAAGAACCTTGAATCTGTTGAAACGCTTGGAAGTACATCAACAATCTGCTCAGATAAGACTGGAACACTGACACAGAACAGAATGACAGTGGGTATGCTGACATGTCAATACTGTGTACATAAATCTGTATGAAGTCAGAGAAGAGTAACAGTTAAGGTAGCATCATTAATTACCCTTATGTGTACGTGTATGTTTTCTCCTATAGCTCACATGTGGTTTGACAATAAAATCTTTGAAGCGGATACTACAGAGGATCAGTCAGGAACTCCTATGGAGAAGGTAGTTTACACAATGTTATGTTATATTTTATTATGAAACCTGATGATTCAGTTATTTAACCCGAATCAATAGAAACCTTTGTATGGCTTGTCATGGTGATGCTCACAGTTGGAGAAAAGTGACCTTCAGAAACTTTACTAGAATAGACCCTTCCAGGGTGTTTTGAACTTTTGACATGTAGCAGTGAGGGAAAATCTGTTGACACCACTGGAAAGACCACCTTAAAATTAGTAAAACTGCCACCAAATTTGAAAGTGACACCTCTTATAAGGCAAGAAAAGACATAGCTCCTCAAAGTTGCACAAATTTACAAACATCTGTAAAATTTTGTGAATTTGAATCACTTCCAAAGTTGGCAATTGTAATAATTATTAGTACAATTCCCAAGTTTGAATAAGATTTGTGGAAAACTAACTAAAATATAGCTCCTCAAAGTCACAAGCTTTTTTTAAGGTTTTCTTTTCAGTGGTATCAAAGGATTTTCCCTACCTTATCCATATCAAAATTTGAGAAAACCATGAAAGAGTCTATTAAAAGTTTTGTATTATTTTGGTATCTTGCAGTCACAAACATGGACTGCATTGTCCAGAATTGCTGGTTTGTGTAATCGTGCTGAGTTTAGAACTGGCCAAGATAACGTCCCTGTGCTAAAAAGGTAAGAAACTTATGTCCATCTAATGAAATTTTCAGTTTTCTCTTAGTCTTAACTTATTTTTTGCTTCCTCATTGTCTGTATGTATATGTCTGTATAATTGAGAAACATTTTTGTTTGTTTTTGTCTATACAGTATTAAAAAACCCTGGTAACTCAAATTCTGAAGGGGAGCAAAAAATAGTTAGAGTTAGTGGGGAGTTAGAGTTATTGGGGTAAATTTCAGTGAAATTTTGTTGAAGGTAAAGGAAATTGAGTTTGAGTTAGTGGGGAATTTGAGTGATCTGAGTTCGCGTTATCGAGGGTCTACTGTACTACCAAGGAACTATACGTCACCCATGTGAAACAATTTATGACTTGACTGATCGCGTTAAATCCATTTTGCAGGGAAACAAATGGAGATGCCTCTGAATCAGCCCTGTTAAAATGTATCGAGCTTCAAGTAGGGAGTGTAACTCAGATGCGACAGAAAAACAAGAAGCTTGCAGAAATTCCATTTAACTCAACCAACAAGTACCAAGTGTCTATTCATGAACAGGAAAATGCTGATGATCCTCGATATCTACTTGTAATGAAAGGTGCTCCAGAGCGTATCCTAGAGCGTTGCTCTACAATCCTAATTCAAGGAAAGGAAGAAACATTGGATGATGATATGAAGGAGGCGTTTGAAAAGGCATACCTAGAGCTCGGTGGTATGGGAGAACGTGTGTTAGGCTTCTGTCACTTTTACCTGAATGTTGAAGAGTTTCCACCTGGATTTGAATTTGTTACTGACGATGTAAGCAATTGATAGTGTAGTCCTTGAAACTTAACTATCTTATCATCTATCGTTTATTTGGCAAAGGTGCTATTTACAAATTGTTGGTTTCCTTTCAAAGAAAACCAGCAAATACATTTTAAAAATGACATAAGTAAACAAGCATTTACCTGGCTTTTTTCTTCTTTCCAACAAAAGGCCTTAAAAAGTGATAATAAATAATCTGTGGATACATGGATTTGGATAGTACTTGTATACTTTCATAGTTTTGGGCCCTTTATAATTTTTTAAGAAAACTAAGCAAATAAAAGATTTGCACTGTGATTAGCAGCATAGTGATAAAAAATTTGTTTTTAATTTGCAGCCTCCTAATTTTCCACTTAAAGACTTGTGCTTTGTTGGTCTAATGTCCATGATTGATCCTCCTCGTGCCGCTGTTCCTGATGCTGTCAGCAAATGTCGCAGTGCAGGAATCAAAGTTATCATGGTCACTGGTGATCACCCAATCACAGCAAAGGCCATTGCAAGGGGTGTGGGAATCATTTCTGAAGGTGAAGAATTTTTTCATCTTACCTATTTCCTACATTCTTGTTAGGCCCATAAAAGAGATAATTATTGGATTAATTTTCAAATCAGACAGAGCTTACAATTTTTCATTGAACACAGCCAAGAGTAAGATGGAAATGGTGCAGATTACATGCAATTTTATCCTTTGATTAAATTATAATATTCTACTTTTGGTTATGGTAATGTATGAAAACAAGAATATCCCTTGTGCAAGAGAAAGTGTAACATTGAAAATCATATGCTTGCAAATTACAAAATTTATCACCAGTGATATTATTCTGGTTGCTGTGGTGTCAATATAAATGTACAGTAAAATTCACATGTTGATAGCATGCTCTGTGGTTCAACAGTGATACCAGCTTCAAAAGAGTGTGACATCATCTTACCATCAGAAACAACAAACATCTGAGTGTTTTGACTGTGTGTAAAGTGTTTCAGTGTTTATTTTGTCTTTAAATAGTGTTTGCAATGAGAGGACTCGTTCTAGTAAGTTGATAAGTGAGCTCACTGCTTCAATTATTATAGATGAACTCATTGGTTGAAAATGTCCTCCTTTATTTATTTGATTTGTGTTTTGCTTTCTATGCAATATCTTCGGCCGTTTTGTGTTCAGCCCAACCTGACTTGCATGTGATTCAAAGTTTAAGCAATTAAAAATCAAACAATCTTTTGGGATTGTCTCTTGTACCTTCATCCAAGGACATAGGGGCATGGGGAAAGAAAAAGAGACATACCAATTTGTGACTCTGATGAAAACAATCCAATCAGACATAGGGGTGGCCTTACTTATGTAATCACAATTAAACTCATCGCTAGTGATGAGCTTGGGAGCAGGTGCCTTAAAGGTTAGTGGGGGGCCAAATGCAATAAGCAGAGAGGACGTATCCATGGCAACCCTGGAAGCGGGAACCACCCCAAGAGCAGCCACTAACCGCCACCGTCACACTGAATGAATTCAGTGGAGATACTTACCTAAGAGAATATACTTACCTGAGAAAATACTTACCAAACCACCAGGCACGGAGGGAGGAGAGGGAGAAAGAATCCGCAATGATTGGCAAGAAGGCAAACATTGATCCGCTACGATCAGCAAGAATCCGCAATGATTGGCAAGAAGGCTAAAAATGATCCGCTACGATCAGCAAGCAAAGCTACAATGCGAAGCAACACTAGCAAAAGGGCACACAAGGAGCCCTGCAAATTCCCCGCGGGCCACCCCGTAGGTCACATACTGAAGTGGGAGAAGACCGCTGGTCAACTCGCTCGAGTTTAACTTTGCCTAAATGATATTTAGCCACATTTAAACTCATCGCTAATGATGAGCTTGGGAGCAGGTGCCTTAAAGGTTAGTGGGGGGCCAAATGCAATAAGCAGAGAGGAGGTATAATTTAACCAAGGGGAAAATTGAACCACAGCAAAGACACTTTTTTTAACTGATTTAGGGACGGAGACTGTGGAGGACATTGCAGAAAGGCTTGGAATTCCTGTGGCTGATGTGAATCCACGTGATGCTAAAGCCATTGTTGTACATGGAGGACAGTTAAAGGTATCACAAATTATTTTAAGTGGAAGATCAACTGTGCCAATTGAAAGTATAATACATTGCTAACCCTTTTGGCTACTGTGTATATTTCAGGACATCTCGAGTGAAAAGTTAGATGAAATTCTAAAGGAGCACACAGAGATTGTTTTTGCCAGAACCTCTCCACAACAGAAGCTTATTATTGTGGAGGGCTGTCAGCGGCAGGGTGCAATTGTTGCTGTTACAGGAGATGGCGTCAATGACTCACCAGCTTTGAAGAAGGCTGATATTGGTGTGTAAATTAATATTAGATAACATCAACCTTCCAACCTTTCTTGTGTGCTAGTGATGTCCATGTTTTTGTCTTTTCAAACCTGCTGAAACTAGTATAAAAACAAAAAATAATCTGCAAAATGATCACTTTTTACAAGAATTTGAAGGGATTTAGCCTTGGGATGGAGGAGCATGGTGAAGTGATGGATGGAAGTCTTACAAACAAAATGTGTGAAATCAAAGTGATTTTGCACTACATTGTATCTTCTCTTACCTTAAACTGAAGCTTTTGTCTCTGGTTCCAGGTGTTGCTATGGGTATTGCTGGTTCAGATGTGTCTAAACAGGCTGCAGACATGATTCTACTGGATGACAACTTTGCTTCAATTGTCACTGGGGTTGAAGAAGGTAATTATGGAGCATATACTAATTGGGGCTGCTTTGAATTTTGTTGCCAGGCTGAGACTATCTGGCTATCTTAAATCAAAGTAGCTTATACTGTGCTTCCTATTTAACCACTTCTTGCAAGTGAGAGGTTGTCCCTCAAGCAAATTATTTAAATTGGAACCTCTTGCTTGTGACTTACAGTTCTTTTTATCTGAAAAGTTATGATGAATGTGTTTGTTTTTAGCTATGGTAGGCAACCACCTTATCTTTGCAGCAGGCGTAGGTCTTTTTTTTTTCGGGCGAAAAGAGAATATTCAAGTACACACATGCAAGTTAAGGAAAGGAGAGGGAGCGCCTGCAGCCGAGCAGCTGCAGCTGACATCAGACCGAAAGGGGAAGAAAACCATAGCGGTGCATAAAGCAAACAATGCAATTTTAAATTAATACTTATAGGGGCAAACAGAATGAACAAACAGCCTTACCTCAGTCCCACTTTGTCCTGTCATCAACAAAGGATGCCATTGTATTCGTGTTGAACAATGATGGCGATTTTCATGAAATTCATTAATCATTTGTCCAATGCCACATAGCTGAGGCCATACGATGTTATAAGTTCCTTGCAGTATTTCTTTTAAACAGTCCAGTTTTTCTTTCGAAACACACATGCTTACATTTCCATGGAAGTTACAGCAGCTGCTTGAATTATGCTTTGCGACGGGGAAATAATGTCAATGCTTGTAAAGACGGTTTCGGTCTTCAGACCCCAATAAAAATACCGTGAAACCTCCATTAAGCAGACACCTTCGGGACCCTCCCAAGTGTCTGCTTTATAGAGGGTGTCTGCTTAATAGAGGTTGTAAAAAATTGTGCAATGTTCGTGTTTGTCAACGATCAACATTCAAGGGTTACTCTCTACTGTGATAAAGTTCTATGTTGTGACGAATGCTAAGGAAGCTGTGCTGTACTTTGTGCAAGACTTTAGGGTAAAGGTTAATTGCAGATGACAATCATACCGCTGGATATCTGTCTAATCTACAGTTTATTGACAGCTAAATGTACTGATTTATCATTATTCATCGACTACAGTTTGTACTTCAAGGACGATATCCAATACTACTATTGTCGATTCAGTCCTGTGTCTGCTTAATAGAAGTTTTTAACAATAGAACAGGGTTTGTATGGGCCCTGGAAAACCTGGAAAGTCATGGAAATTTAAAATTTCAAAATCCAGGCCTGGAAAACCTGGAAAATATGTGTTGGTCCTTGAAAGTCCTGGAAAATCTCCGGTATGCCATTATACTATAAGCAATAATGTGATTGGTGGGAAGGAAACTGATCAAGTCAAATGTTGTGCAACAACATCTTTTTCGTGCGTTTTGTGTCATCGCAAATTCAGGATGATCGGAGTCAACAGTATCTTTTGCACAAATGACGCCATGTGCCATTCGTTATGACATCATCTATCATCCCTTTGCTATCAATTCTCAATATTTGAAGACGTGGGGGGGTTGACAGCCCTGCAGAAATCACAGGAGAGGGAGTAAGCACAAAGAATTAGCAGCGTTAATAGCTGAGCGGTCATTGCCAATTACCCAGTTTATGTCTTCAAAGGCAGCATCTTCATCTAGCTCTGACCAACCTGGTCCTTTGATGTCTTGTGGCTTACATTCCAGCCCTGAAGTACGTGATGCAAGTGCTGAAACACTAAGCTCATCTGCTTCTCTTAGAGAAACGGTTGAAAAACAGTCGAAAACCGGTCAGTAAGTAGCACAGTCAAAACATCGTCGGAGTTCCTCAAAACGAAAACTTGAAGAAGCTTCTAAAATCGACAGCGAAATAGACCAGAAGCTGCAGACTCTTGCAGAAACATAGCAAAAATGCTACATAGCTTGTTGGTTTAATTGTTTGGATTGTTTCAGTTTTCCTGGGTATTACTGGTCCTGGATTTTTGTAAATATGGTCCTTGAAAGTCCTGGAAAAGTCCTGGAATTTTGATGGACCAGTGGTGTACAAACCCTGATAGAAATTAGCCAAATACAACTTATATTAGTGTCTGCATCCACTTAATAGAGGTGTCCACTGAATAGGGGTTCATTATAAAGGGAAATATAAGATGTTAATTTCAGGACCCAGATTAGTGTCCACTTTATAGAGGGTGTCCACTTAGTTGGCAGTCTACTTAACACAGGTTTCACTGTAACTGGAAAATTTAACTTACTCTCAACTCATTTGGTAATACTGCCAAAACATCTTTACTGAAAAGATGGCGCAGTGGTTTTTCGAAAATGAAAACCAAAATCGAAAATCTCTTCAAACGAATCTCTTTAAAAGAACACTTCTTGCAAGTACAATTCAAACAGTTCCTCAGTGGTGAGCCATGCGGCACATGTGTTTTGTTTGCAAGACTCGAATTTCCATTAACTAACAAATAATGCATTGAGGTGACAGACTAACTCCCAAGAGGCGTTCTTAGCCATTGACATTCTATGCACCATCAGAGAATGTAGAAAACGGAAAACTAGGGCCTTTGCTGCAGGTGCCTTCTCTCACCTTCGTGTGTTCCCCTCACATGGCCTTTAAAAAAGATTAACCAACACCTGCTATGCAGCCTACTGTGCATCACACAGGTGCAAATTAAAAATTGCTTAACGATGGCACGTTTATGGATTTGTAAAAACACTACAACTAACACTGGTCAACACTTCATCAAATTGATTTTAATTGGTGCAACGAACGGATCATGTATCTTAAAAAATGCCTGACCATGTTACCGTTCTGATGAAATAAGTCAAGTTTGCACTGCACTATACACTAAAGTGCTGAAAAATTAGTAACTATCAAGTTTTAATATGGCAAAATTGAATATTTTGCAAATATCGACACCAATAACTGGAACCCTTGTTAACTCAAACTGTTTTCTTTTCCCTTAAGAGTTTGAGTTACTGGGGTTCTACTGTAGTTTACCTATGGTAATTGTTGGTATTAACCCTTCATTTATATACTGACCAAAACTTTTACTGTCTTCACTGTTACCTTTGTAAGCAAGCACCAAAAATATCAAGCCAAAGTCCTCTTTGTATAATCCTACTGTATCAAGTCTGTTAATGATTATTCATCATGGCGTTTTTCAGCTGAAGTTAGATGATGAGAACACCATGCTGCCTTCCTTCTGACAACAGAAGGAGTCATTGAATAAGTGTGCGCTGTGTGTAATTTTTAATGACAGGGAATCAACAAACAGTCAGCAATTAGATAGAGCAGCAGCTGCATCACTTTATAAGTACAAAATACTTTAATCACGATTCATAAATGTATGCATAACAATTTCTACCCTGAGTATCTTAAGGACTTATTAACTTTGTGCTCATCAATAATAATAATAATAATAATAATAAAGATTTCGAGGTAGCACATCCACAAAGTGGTTCTTTGTCTACCTGATTCCTGGTCGAATTGGAGTTTGGAAATGCTGGTTTTTGAGGAGAGGGGAAAGTGGAGTACCCAGAGAAAAACCTCTCAGAGCAAGGGAGAGAACCAACAACAAACTCAACCCACATATGGAGTCGAAGCCGGGATTTGAACCCGGGCCACATTGGTGGGAGGCTAGCCCTCTCACCACTGCGCCGTCCCATGCCCCCCATCAACGGTCTGCTCTCTTAGAGGAACTGATATATTGTCATTGTGGAGACCTGCTTCCACTTCTTATGGTCTTCACTCTTTTAATTATTTTGCCTGTAAAACTTGGAACTCTTTACCTGAGAAAATTAGAATGGAGTCTACTCTGGCTGGTTTTAAATGTCTAATACGAACCATCTCCTTTCATAGCACTAAGCATTTATTTAATAGATATTTTTCTGTATATAATGAAACATGACCCTCAATACTAGATAATAGGGAGCCTAAGTAACTACATTGACAACGACAATAACAACTTCAAAAAACAATGGATTTAATGATCAAAACAACAGCTCTGCATGTGCATCATGCTCTTTAGTACATTTCTTTGACGTCCACTGCACGACTACGACGTGAATTTGACGTTTTATGGAGGACATGGACATACGACGACGAATTTTCCTTCCTCCTTTTGAAAGTCACCTGCATTTGACACATTGAACGGGGCCAAATAGACGCGATTAAGTTTCAAAGAACGCAAATTCATTTTTTTAGCGACGTTTTCTTTCCCGCCATCGTCGTTGTTGCTTAAGGTCCCTAATGATTATTAGTACTCAGTAATGTTATTTCATTTTTTTTTTCTTTTCTCGAAGATATTAGCTTTTGAGCTACTCTGTAATTTCGAGGTAAAATAAAGTCATGCACAGACATACAAGGTTGTATCCTGAGGTTTTCAACCAAGTAGTGATGTCACTTTTGTAATGACATGACAACTGCACTATTAATACTTGACTATCATGATTCTTACTAACAGCAGACTGAACGGCTTGTTTTGTATCCCTAGGTCGTCTGATCTTTGATAACTTGAAGAAATCGATTGCATACACACTGACCAGTAATATTCCTGAGATCACACCATTCTTGATGTTTATCATTATTGGCATCCCTCAGCCACTTGGCATTATCACCATATTGTGCATTGATTTAGGAACTGATATGGTAGGTGTTACTTTTCAGCTTCTTATGGCAATGCTTAAGTAATGGCACTGTTTTTGAACCTGCATTTGGTAACAAATTAGTACTGTTAAGGTGGATACTTACTCACACAGTCCCAAAGTGGAGGTTTGCATTTTCCATTCTGAGATCTCTCCTTTGTTAAATGTGTAATACTGTATCTCTTTCATGGAGACCCAATTCTTGCTGACTGCTTATTTTCTGCTCTTTAATGTTAGGTTCCTGCTATTTCATTGGCTTATGAAAAAGCAGAAAGTGATATCATGAAGAGGACACCTCGTGATCCCTTACATGACAAACTTGTGAATGAAAGGTGAGAACACAGACTGACTCTAGCACTTTTATTATTATTATTATTATTATTATTATTATTATCATTATTATTATTATTATTATTATTTGATTTGCCTTGCCTCTTTTGACCCTTCATTGTTGTTTCTTATCTTTTTCAGATTGATTGCTATGGCTTATGGACAGATCGGTTTTATCCAGGTATTATCACGTGCAGCACAGTCAAGGAATTTCTCATTCACTTTGCTGCTGATATTATGCATTTCTTAAACTGAAAAGAAAATCAAACTATGCTTGCAAGAAAGTTGAGGATCAAAAGTACAAGGAAAATAGCCTTGCAAGTTTTTGCTTCCTCTTGTTTTTGGGTTATCATTGCTATTTACACCTTGATAGTTTCAGCTGTGTTTTTAAATTTATTTCCTATTTTGAATTTTTGTTAGGCTCTGGGAGGCTTCTTCACTTACTTTGTTATTATGACCGAAAATGGATTCCGGCCAATTCGTTTGTTTGGCATCCGAGCAGAGTGGGAAGACAAGAATGTTCATAGTGTTATGGACAGTTATGGACAAGAATGGGTCAGTATGCTGAGCTTGATAATAGATTTACTAGTAACAAATTGAGAGATTTGACTTGGTTTTAAATATTGTTGATGTTTTTGTTTTACAGTCATACAGTCAGCGTAAAGAGTTGGAGTACACTTGCCACACTGCTTTCTTTGTCAGTATAGTCGTTGTTCAGTGGGCTGATTTAATCATCTGCAAGACTCGCAAAAATTCTATTATTCATCAGAAAATGACGTGAGTACTACTTCAGACATGAGCGAGTTCAGCTGTCTGTTAATTGGCCTGATTACACTTGTTCTCACCACGATGGAGGTTTTGCCTTTCTGAAATTTTTTAAAGAGTGGGAGCATCAATTTTTGCCCAATCCTTGGTAGTTTAACTTTTCTTTTCCTTGCAGAAATAAGGCTCTGAACTTTGGCTTAGTGTTTGAGACTGCCTTGGCGGTATTACTGTGTTATACGCCCGGCCTCTCAACTGGTTTGCGGATGCAGCCATTAAGGTAAGTTTCTCTCTATTACCTCATCATAAATCAGACTCAAACCACTCCAGCCTGTGATCCCCTTCCCCACTCCAGCCTGTAATCCCCTTCCCCACTCCAGCATGTGAACTCCTCCCCCATCCCAGCCTGTGAGCACCTCCCCCACACCAGCATGTGAACACCTCCCCACTCCCACCCATGAACTACCCCCCCTTTCCCTCCCTTTCTGTGGCGCTTTCTGGCAGGCACAAACAACCCTTTCAACCTATTAAACGTGTTCAATGTTGTTAGATGTACATAATTAACATTTTTCATCCATGTTTTTGTTTTTTTTCAGGTTTGCGTGGTGGTTTCCTGCTGTTCCTTTCAGCTTGCTCATCTTTGTGTATGATGAGTGCCGCAGATACATCATCCGTAGACATCCAGGCTGTAAGTTTTTGTTTGTTATAGATGTTTGTTTATTTTGCTTTTATTGTGTTGATTGTTCCCATGTGGCACCCTTTAGGAAGTCATGTTTTCTTTGACACAGTGCCCCATTCGATTTGAAACTAAAATGTAGACTACTCTCACACTTGAAAACCCACCCTTCGTCCATCACAGGGGATGTTTGAAACAAGTGCAAATGTGGTAAGGACTACTTCCAGACACCTATGGGTTAATTCTCAAAATTGTTTTTTTTTCTTTTTGTCAGGTTGGCTGGAACAAGAAACTTATTATTAACCAAGGCTGGCCCGTATTACGAGATGTTTCCATGAAAGAGATGGTGAATTGAAATTATTTGAGCGTTTGGATAAAGTTTTTTCATTTGACAATTTTTAACGATAAAATTTGCATCATTCGTCCCTTGTATGAAATATTGTGTAATTTTCGTTAAATTCAGGACTTGGCACTGGTATTTTAAGCAATATCCTGAGGTCTTTTTCATACTTTGCTTAATATAATATTCACGCATATTATTTGGAGTAAAATTATTCAACATTTTTATGACAAAATTTTTATTTGTTGTTTTTTAAAGCCGGCATCCAAGTTCTCTTTGGAAATACTCACTCACCTTAATCATTTAAGAAGTATCCTCCCACGCTCATGTCCTTAAGATTTCACGTGTTCCTGCCCGTTGAAAGTGTAAGGGCTAGGAATGCGTTAGCCTGTGCCAGGCTCTCAGATAGTATAGTGGGAACATATTAAAACGAGCAAAGCGAAAATACTCCCCTGCCCCCGCGCGTTTTTCTCATTTCTTTTTACTGAACGACTTTCCACCACTATCTCGGAGCCTGGAACAGGCTAGGAATGCGTGTGTTCTTATGACTTTATCACGTGTAGGAACGCGTGTGACGAAGGCCTACTGACGCCAGCGTTGGAGGCTACTTAAGAGGAGCTGGGGATGGTTGTTTCTTTCTTTGTGTTTAGTTAAGATACTCTTTTAAGCATACAGGGAAAAGGTATCTGCTTGTTGAAGCTAAAGCGCCCCTCACATTCCCACTAACTTTGCAGACTGCTCCAAATCTGAGTAGTCATCGCCCACCAACACAACAACATTTCAAATTGACATTAAATAACAGGGACAGCACAAGACAAAGTTTGTGAATGTTTATTTAAGCAAAACAATATTTCAGGCAAATTTTTGACCATCCTTTGACGTAGTTATTGTAACTAGCACGCGTGTTATGAATTTATATTTTAGGGATTGGTTTTTCCTTGCATCCTTTCAATAAACTGGGCGGTGTAGGAATAAATATATTTGAAATTTAAAGCGTTTTGCTGCTCCGAATGGGGTCACCACCTTGTCGTGGAGGGGGGGAGGCTATGTCGCCTGCAGCCTTGTACTCCTAATTGGGGTACTCGTAGAGACCAGACAAAGAGTGACCCGGCCCTAGTCCTCCCTGTTGGAGGTTGGGTGTAGCCTGGCTAACGACCTTGCCCCATCAAAACACTAATTTTTACAGAAACCAGAAAAACTAACTTGGGACAGAAAGTGTTGGTCAGAAAGCGTGATTGCCTCATGCGCGTTAGACTTGATGACAATGTGCGCATCCACAACTTTACTCCGCTTTTAAGTGTTTTCTTGTTCCTTGAGACAGCTTTGAGCAAGCTAGCAACGAAATAAGCAATTTTATGCTAGCCTGGGTCAGGCGTTTAAATAATGGAGAGGAGCGCGAAAAAGAGAGCGAAGGAAAAGAAGCGGAAGAAAAGAGTGTGAGGGGAGGTTCGTTTACCCTCGCTCCCAACCGCCACCCTTCCGGTTTGTCTTCCTGCTCACTATTATTTGCACCGTCCCCACCATCAGAGCGCCTGGAACAGGTAAATTTTAGGCTTAAGAGGCCAAGTGGTGGGCAAGGTTCTCTCCTGTCAGTGTTCGATCCTTTTAAAAAGGCAATCCTGTAGACACAATCTATGATCTGTGAGACCCATGTAAGGGAGGGGTGTTCGGATCCCCCGGACCTTTCCCCTGCCGGGATCCGTCGATGCTACAGTCGTAAAAAAGGAGAAGGAAAATGAAAAGAGAACCTATTTACACATGAGTGAAAGTACTTTTAATAACACAGTTGCCAAGTTACAAAATAATTTGAGTCAGCCCTACAAAAGTTTTGACACTTCATATTACTGATATGAAAGACTATTACGTTGTGGTTCACCACGTTGGTGCTCTTCAACTAAACTAGTGCTTGTTGTGTAATAAAATAATAAACTGTTGATAAAAATACTGATAACATTGTTTAAGGCCTGCGTAGCACTTTTATCATGTTTAAATTCCATAAGTAAACATCATCACATTTTCACCAATTATATTCTTGATTCACTGAACTACTCATTATTTTTGATTAACTATTCGAAAAGACGGGACAGCAAAATTTAAAATGTCTACTTTGAAATGGAAGAGACAATGGGCGCAGTTTATCTCAAGTACACCTGAATGCACCTCCAATTTATAATTCTTCCAAGTTTAAACTGGGCGAAAAGGTAACAAAATAATCCTTTCATCCCCGATAAATACATTCGCTCCAATCAGGAAGCGAATACTGAGTTAAAAAGTCGTTAAGAGATAAAACCCTGTCATTTCAACGTTGCAACAAAAGAAAGATTGGCCTTTCCCTCTTCAAAAATAGAAATCTACCAATACATCATGTTGTAAAAGTAGAAAGTTAAGCCAGTTCCTGGCCAACACTCAGTTGTAAGCCACCATGGTAATAGTTCTACAAGACAAGACTTCTTCAAAAGTCTCTAGCAAGTGAAAAATAGCACCGAGCCTTGGAGGCCATTGTTCAGAGAAATAATGAGGACTGCACATGTTCTGTTAAAAACATGTTAAAATTCTTCAACTGTAACTTAATCCCTTTTGAAAACATGTGGCAGAAAATTGACAGAGGAAAATTCACCAGTAGCAATTGGTGAACTGTGTACTTTGGTCGTGCTCTTTTGAAAGCATTCAAGCTGTGATATTCACATTGCGATAACAAAGTCACTGCAGAAAAAAATCGAAAACTCTTACTACCGAATCTCTCCTATGTACTTTAAATTTAACTTAAATTTCAAAAAGTATTCCTAGTGACACCGCCGAGTTATTTGAGTTCCACACAAATCCTAACGAACCAACAAACTTTTTTTTAAATAACTACAAACAAGCCTCAAATGATTACACCCTTGCCTATAAGTATTTTAAATTGCAATCCAGAAAAGCAGACATGTAGTAACTAGCTTGAATGTTAATGGGGACGTTAAAGTAACCTGCCATGTAACTGTAAAGAAATAATTATTCATTACAATTAAAACGAAGCCTAAATAATTGTCATCAGTTAAACAAGTGGCAACTCGGACATTAATGTGCGCGCCTCCGTTTGCCACAGATATCGATTGTCATTTAGTAATATGTTTCTCGATCCAGCCAGCCTGAAAAAAGAAAAAAAAAACATTCAGTAAAGATTCATCTCTTCTAGCCCGCTATTTACATCTTGTTGCGCTGCCCTCACTATCTGATCGAACGCTTAGGATGAATATGCTAACATGGCTTTTCCAAAGCAAATACAGTGGAACCACTTTTCACAGACAGGATAGTTATGCTGATATAGACACCCTTATTAATGACATTAAAAAAGGATAATCTAAGGGTCTGTTTACATGAAGGTGGGGGACCCCAGATAGGTGAGGTAACATGTGGCGGGTTACCCCACCTAACATGTAAACGTGATCACATTAAAATGAGGGATTAAATAGACAGGTGGGTTACCCCACCTAAGCGGGTTACCTCACCTAACTGGGGTCCCCCACCTCCATGTAAACACGCCCTTAATCCAGTGTATTTCTACTTATTTACATATTTATTCATTCATGTTATTGTTCGTTTTAGCCTCTTTTTCCTTGATGTAGTTGATCTCTCTTATTTGCCTCGTAGATTGTCTTTAAGTTTGTTTATAAAATAACTAAGATAGTACGCGCGCTCTGATTGGCCGAGAGGAGTGTTTGCACGAGAGTATGTAAACAGGTGTAAACATGGTTGTGGCGTCAAGTTGTTTGGCTTTTCGCGCGCTAATCACGCAAGCACGAATTTGATAATGTTTCGAGTTAAAAACTCGACAAGTTTACTTTATTTACCTATTCCTTCGTCGGCTGAAACTTGGAAAATCGTTACAAAGAAGGTGTGTCAAGTTTTTTCGCTTAAGCTGACATTTTAAGCGAGAAAAGTCCGTATTTTGGAAAGCATCTTTTTGCAAAACAAGAACTGATTACGCGTGCAAGACTTGGTGGACAAGACTTTGCAACTGGTAAGAATTTCTCTTTTAATTAGTGCCATACAAACAGTTTTGCGGCTTTTCTCGGGAAATTTATTTTATAAAAGTAATAGGAAACTTTTTACCTTTGTTTGCATAGCCTGATATAAACACTCGAGGCGTTGGGAGAATTCTCGACAGTTATGAAAACCCGAGACGAAGTCGAGGGTTTGCATAACTGTCTCGAATTCTCCCAACCCCTCTCGTGTTTATATCAGGGTATGCAAACACGGAAAGCGTTTTCTATCCTCAGCTTAAAGAGTACCCACGCTGCTTGCCGCGAATTAGCTAAGTGCAGGCAGTGTGTATGTTTAATGTATTTCTTTGCTTTTTAATAAAGTTGTTGTTGTTGTCGTTCGCAAACCAGACACCTAACAGTATTATGCATAAGCACTACAGGACAAGGGCAGTTCGCATGTTCCCAAAGACTTCACACTTCACGAATAAAATCATTGTGAGCTCAATCTGTATACAAACACTTTTACTTGGTTAACTATCCTAAAGTTAGTAACATTTAGCTTTAAAAAGGATAAATAGAAGACTTACATCCTGGATATCTACGCAGAATATAACGACGTATCTCATCATAGACCCAGATTGCCAAACTGAAAGGCATGGCTGGGAACCACCACGTCCAACTGAAAAAAAAAAAAGTACTATCCTCTCCAAAGACGTTTCAGTTTTTTTCTTGCTTTTCCCAGCAATTAGGCGTCACCTCCTGGGAACATTGTAAGGTAAAGAAAAAAAATTGCTACAACTTTGTTTCATTTCTTTGTGATCACAATACTTACTGTAGAGGATACATGCGAAGCCCATTTGACATGCCAGGGGTGTAACTCAGGAACGCTGCCAAGCAGGTTTCAAACACCAGGCCAAAATTTAAGAACCAGTTACTGCAACAAAAGGACAAGGAATTATCAATAAATCACACGCAGCTGGCCTGAAAAAAGCCTGTTCTTCACAATATTGAAAAAAATCTAGTTTTTTTGAGCTGTTGCTTACATCCAATTCAGTGGCTCTGGTGTCGTACGCAAGTGTTTTTACAATTACCAAGAGTTTTTTGATAGTATATCAATTAACAGTTACTGTTTTCTTTGTATACCGTTATTGTTTATTAAGGCGTCCATGAGCGACAAATTGTTCTCGAAAAAAACTGTTAACGGGCCTGAGTTAATACGTACGTCATTCCCTGAGTGAAGAGGGAGTTGCGCCTAGTCTTACAGATGATTAAATCAGCCCACTGTACGACAACAATGCTCACAAAGAAGGCAGTATGACAAGTGAACTCCAATATTTTACGCTGATCATAAGTCTGCAAGAAAAAAATACAGTTGACTCCCAATAATTGGAACCCTCGCTAACTCGATCCAAAGACGATTGTCCCTGGATTTCCCTCATACATTCACCGTAATTTTACCCTCAGTAACTACAGCCCTCGATAACTCGAACCTCCCGCTAACTCAAGGTAATTTTTGTTTCCCCTCAGATCATTTCTATGCAATTTACCCTTGATAACTTCAACCCTGCTTTAAGTGTCTGACAAGTCGAGAAAAAAAACAGTGTACTGAAGTCTGAAACATTGAATTTATTTCACAACAACAGAGTCAATTCGTTGTCTTTAATAATTTTTGGTCACTCCAGTTTAAATTCGGTGTCCATCCCAGCTGTACATTAATCAGGCTTTGCTGCATAATTCCTTTTTCAAAAGATCAATCTATATCTCTTGCTGCCCTTCCCCATCCATTTGCTTATTTCCTTATTTCCAGTTATTTCAGCTTTGAACTCCCGATAACTCGAACGTTTTTTATTTCCCTGGAGGGTTCGAGTTATCAACTGTACACATCATTTTTAAGAGTATACAGCAAACCGAATTTATCCAGAAAAAAAACATGATGGTGCTTGTGAAAACCCAAAAAGTTGGAAAATTAAGGTGGCTTCAAACACAGCTGGATAGGCCGGGGATCGTCACCATTCATTGGGGTGTTATTTAAGACTTGTTGCATGTATAATAAAGCTCAAGTTCGGTAAGAACAAAATATATTGTTCAATGTAGGTTAAACGTAAGATTTAGATCTTTGCCATGACAAAATGGATTGTTGAAAAGGTAAAAGGACAGCACAAGAGTTCATTTGCGTCGGTACTTACCCATTCCTGTCCATAGGAATCGGTTAAACTGTTCTGTGATCTGTCATCCCACGGTTTTCTCAAGCCAAAGAGTCTTGAAGGTAGGAAGCCATTTTCTGCCATGATAACAAAGTAAGTAAAGAAACCCGCCGTGGCCTGTAAGATAAAATAAATTTACACAATTTATCCACTTATAAGATAGTGTTTCCCTAAACTTAGCCTGTTAAACAGTGATAAGACAACAGTTTTACCTGAATCATTCCGATCTGACCATAAGCCATAGCAATCAGCCTGGGAATTAATGAAACACTCATTATCAAATCATATTAATCTGTCTAAAAAAGAAGGCAGTATGGTAAGATAGGCCATAAAAGGAAGTTAGTACAAATGTACATGTAACAGAGTGAATAACAAGCTCATAGTAAAATTGATGTTTTGTAGATTGCATCGGAATTTAATAAACGTTACTTTAGTCAAGTAGAGCAGCATTCAGGCATCTAAGAGGAGTCAAAAGTACTACATATGATTGACTGATGTTCCTGAGCATCAACACAAAACATCTTATGACTGAAGGCTATGAGGCCAATGGCTGATGTTTAACTGTGTGCTTGTCAGAGGCCTCAAAAGAGTCTTGTGCACTAACCAGCACAAGTGAGGAGCTGGTGGCTTAGTTTAGCAAGGTTCAATAATTGAAGTTTAACGGCAAATGTAAGAGGCCCTGCCAGGGAAGGGGGGGGGGTTCCCCATGTCGCCCGTCTGAATTTTAAAACGTCTCGTATCGGTGTTTATAAATGTTTGTCGCTTATTGTCGGCTTTGCCGTCACTGTCGCAATTTGGCCGAGGGAGGTCGTCTCTTGTCGCGATTTCATTTACGCGCTGTCGCTACTTTCGGGGCCATGTCGCTTGTCAAAATTTACCCTGGCAGGGCCTCATGTAAATATCAATAAATAAACTTAACTTCAATCTGTGTCATGGCATATTACAGCTGTTTGTAACACACCAACCCATGTGCCTGTCTACAGTGATACAAGATTTGGTAACTGATTTAGAATTGGTAAATTTTGCATAAACATAATTATCAAGGAGCTCACCTTTCATTTACAAGTTTGTCATTGACAGGATCACGTGGCTGTCGCTTCATGATGTCAGATTCAGCTTTTTCATAGGCAAGTGAAATTGCAGGAACCTTGAAGGAAAAGAACAGTTGTAGTCAACTGGTTACACCAAGACAGGCCAGCTGGTGTACTTTTTATAAATTAGCTAGAAGATGTGAGTGAATGACGATGGGTGAGGGGACATGATCTAAGGCTAGGCCCAGGTAAGGTGAATCTGGCTTAAACTGGCCATTTACTTCAAAAGCATAAGTTTACTGTCCAACATCTAGCCCAATGTTTGAAAAAATGCTTGAAAAAAGAATAGAACATGGCCAGGTTTTTGGTGGCTGTGGTGAGAATTTGTTTAAGGTTTATTGTCATGGCTTATCTCGCTAACTTTCCATGGCAGGTACGTGCCCACAGGTCCCTCAATCCATAGAAATAGTTTCCGGTCTCAGGACAAATAACACCGGATCACCACAACAATGCAGGTTCTACATGTATATTAAAAAATAATGTAAGTCAATATTGTACATACCATGTCAGTACCCAAGTCAATACAGAGAATGGTGACAGTACCAAGAGGAAGAGGAATTGACAAGATGATAAACATGAGGAATGGGCTGATTTCTGGGATATTACTGGTCAGTGTGTATGCAATAGACTTTTTCAAGTTATCAAAGATCAGACGACCTGAAGAGAAAAGAAATAATCTTGTCAACTCAAACAGCATGTTCTTTTGAATTCTACTCAAATTTCACCATTATTCATAACAACTTTACAACAGGATTATAAGGATACTTCTCATTATATAGTTTGTTTTACATCTAGTAGTAAGAGAACAAGTGAGAAAAATTTGACTTCAGTACTGCTTCTCTCGTTTTAGCTTGAAAGAGTAGGTGAAAAAAGCAATAATTCCTCAAGCTGACAGTAGATGTCTGTCTTCAGAAGGAAGGCAGCATGGTTTTCTCATCACTTTACTTCAGCTGAGAAAATCCATGATAAATCATCATAAACAGACTAATAACCTAACACATTTGTAACAGTGTGATGTACTGGACAAACTAGGATACTACAATCAGGGATTACTATCCTGATCACAAAAGAAACATCTTGGTGAGAACATACCATGTCTTACCAAAGTTATATAACCCAGTCTTGAAATAAAATTTGTACCTTCTTCAACTCCAGTAACAATAGAAGCAAAGTTATCATCCAGTAGAATCATGTCTGCAGCCTGTTTAGACACATCTGAACCAGCAATACCCATAGCAACACCTGTAATCAAAGCACATAATTAAATAGCTGATAAATATAAATTATTCTTATATCCCCTTAGATTGTTTACTAAGTTAAAATGTTCCTCCCAATGTTTAGTCTGGATGACATACTGGTACAATTATCTATCAGTATTAAGGCCAGTATTGATTTACACACCAATGTCTGCTCTTTTCAAAGCTGGTGAGTCATTAACTCCATCTCCTGTAACAGCAACAATTGAACCCTGCCGTTGACAGCCCTCTACGATGATCAGTTTTTGTTGTGGAGAGGTTCTGGCAAAAACAATCTCTGTATGATGCTGCAGAATATCATCAATGTCACTTTGATCCATTTCCTACAGACAAAGAAAAAAAAGTCTTCATTGTATATCTAAGAGGGTTTGTACACTACTGTTCAATCAAAATTCCAGGACTTTCCAGGACCATAATCCACGACCAGGAATAGCCAGGAAAACTGAAACAAACCAACAAACTATGTAGCCTTTCTGCAATGTTTCTGCAAGAGCAAAGTGTTTCCTCTTCCTCTGGCTATATAAGATGTTACCAACGTTTCTTCAAGAGAAGCACATGAGCTTGCTGTTTCAGCACTTGCACCATGTACTAAAGGGCTGGAATCTAAGCCACGAGACATCAAAGGATTTGGGTTGTCAGAGCTAGATAAAGATGCTGTGTTTGAAGACGACTGCTCAATCTATTAATGCTGCTAATTATCTAAATCTAAATCTAAATTGGTTACTGCATCTTATTCCCTCTCAAATGACTTTTGAGGGCCGATTCCCCCATGTTTGAGTATGCAGTCGAATGATTTTTGGCAAAGGCAACAACGTGCTTTGCACTGAGAGTATGAATCTCGTAATATCCAGTCTTTGCACGCCACGTACGTGAGAAGTCCAGTTTTTGCTGAAAGTACACTTCCCAAGCATTATTCATTCAGCTTAATCACAATGAGCTGGAAACAATACTTTTGAGTATGCTTTGACTTGATTTAAAACAGTAAGAAACAACAGCACTGTAAAGTCACGAATGGGGCTCAATAAACGGTTACATTATTCGCCTTTAGTTCCGTTAATTAATCCTCCTACTAGTCCATTCACTTGATGTGAACTCAACGACTGGATACCTGGCATACTGGTCCCAAAAGACCAAAGCCATGTCTTTGTTTCGTAATGGCCCTGCAAAATCTACACTGACTTTTTTCCACGGACCCCTTGGCAAGTCTGTCATCTGTAGCGGCTCTCTGGTGTGACAGGGCGTGGTAGATGGGCAAGCGAGGCATTTCCCTACATGCTTTTCGACCATTGTTTCCATACCAGGAAACCACACATGGGCACGGAGTAACTGCTTTGTACGAACAATACCTTGGTGGCCTTTGTGGGCAATCTTAACCATGGCTTCCCTGAGTGTCTGAGGCACCACAATGCATTCACCACCCACTAAAAAGAGCCCATCAACTACGGCCAGTTGGTTGAAAACGTTACAGTACTTTCTCATGTCTGTGTCTTTACGATCTATACTCTTCTCTTCGACACACTCAATCAATTTCTGCAATTCCCTGTCATTTCCCGTTGACACGATTATTTCTTCCTTGCTTATCGCCTCTGGAATATCATTTTCAATTATGAAATTCGCGTAATGCCTGACATCTTTAGTCATGCCCAGTTCCCTTTTGCCGCTCTGCTTTAGAGGGAGGGGGTGCCTCAATGTATAGTTTGAGATATTGGTCTTCCCTGGATTTGACCTTAAACTCATAATGGAGCATTCGCACAGTCATTCTCTGCAACCGTATAGGCGTTACATGCCTTAGGTTATTAAAAATAACCTCCAGGGGCTTGTGATCAGTGACAACTATGAATGGCTTGACATATGGGAAGACGCAAAACTTCCTACATGCAAAATCAGTGGCCAGTGTCTCCAGCTTGATCTGGGAATATCTCTGCTCGGCGTCTGACAGCACTCTACTTGCATACTGTATCACTCTCCAATGATCTTCATTCGGACTGCACTGGACTAACGTCGCCGAGATCCCCAGGGGACAGCCATCAACATGTACTTCATGATCAGCGGCAGGATCAAAATACGCGAAGACTGTATCAGCAATTAGAGCATTTTTCAAGGCTTCGAATGCTTCCTGGTATTTCTCTTCCCACTTAAAAACGTTGGCTTTAACCAGTGCCCTCAGAACGTCGGTTTGTGGGGTGTAACTCTCCATGAACCTTGCATTGTACTGGACCGTGCATAGAAACGAATTCAGTTCTTTCGCATTGCGTGGGGGCTCAGCCTGTTTAATGGCCTCTACCTTCATGGCATCAGGGGAGGCCCCTTCTTTCGAAAACACCATTCCATAATACAGAGACTTATCCTTATTGAATTCGCATTTATCTTTGTTGAAGGTGATTTCTTTCCCTCTAGCTCTCTTAAACAACTTCTCTAAATTCTAATCATGTTCCTTTTGGTTCCTGCCGAATACACGGATATCGTCACTGATATTAATGCATCCAACTATGTCTTGAGTGATTTCTATGCTGACGGTTTCCTGGAATATCTCCCCAGCGGATCTCGTACCAAAATTGAGTCTCTTGTACCTGTAGAGACCTATATGTGTCACAAAAAGTTATGTCGCGGCTATTTTCCTTCAATTCCAGTTGGTGGTACCCATGGTTCATATCGAGATGCAAAAATACTGTGGCCCCATTGAGCTCATTTATGATATCATCTAGCCTGCAGGTGCAGGCATTTTCTTCTCTCCTTCTTTTGCCCTCGCACCTACCCTAAGGGTTACTATTTCTACTCTCCCCAATCTTCCTCTGTCATAAAATCAAAGATGGCGGCTACCCAAAATACGCCTGCACTGCAGGCTAGCAAAAAACTTGAAAATGTGAGCAAAGAAAATTCAAAGAAAATCATTCACTGTCCACATAAAAGTCTAATATCCCATGAATTTCAAGGACCAACACATATTTTCCAGGTTTTCCAGGCCTGGATTTTGAAATTTAAATTTCCATGACTTTCCAGATTGTCCAGGACCCACGAACCCTGAGCTAAAATGTAGTTGTTTAAAGTTAAAATGCAAAATATGGCTTCCAGCCTAGTCAAGTTACAATAGAATACTCATCACACTAAAAATAACCTTTAAAAGGCAAACAACAAAATAGCCTTTAGAAAACAACCATAAATATTTCCTTATTTGATTGGTAGATATTAGAAGTAGGGTTGTTACACAAATACAAGTCATCAAGAAACATATTTTTTCTTAATAAAAATTACATATGTGCAGTCTGTTACTAAAAGTATAGCATTTTACATATGTACAGGTATAATTTGAAACTTTGTTTCTCTGTATTGTAAGTAGAGTGTGTTACAATGGATGCTAAAACTAACCTTCAATTGTGAACCATGAACAACAATGGCTTTAGCTTGTCTTGGATCAACTTCGTTTACTGGGATGTTAAGGCGGGCAGCAATGTCCTCCACTGTCTCTGTTCCTAAAAGAGTTCCATAATGCATGTTAACCATGTACTTCAAATTAGAAACTGTTTAGTAAAAATTACCATTTTCTTTATTTTATTACAAAAAAAAACATTCAATAAATTAGCAGTGTCTGTCTGTTGTCAGAAGGAAGGCAGCATGGTGTTCTCATCACTTTACTTCAGCTGAGAAAATCCATGATAAATCATCATCAACAGACTTGAGAGGACAAGAGTGAACTCCTAGCATTAGCTGCCACCATCCCAAGAAATGCTAGCAGTAACACATAGAAAACTGTGGTAAGAATGTTCCATTAACTCAAAAATGAGTTTAAATAGCAGTGTTCTGTTTGAATTGATCAAAATCTTTAAGTGACTGGATAATTGATTATGGGAAATGTTCATTCAATTATCCCCTCATGCTTACAAATGCAGCAATAAAAAGGTAAGGAAGAATCATACTTCCAAGAACATACTTGTAAGTATGTTGTTACTAGTTATCGATTAGGTATGATGGCAGACTCTCAGTTTTAATTAAGATTCTCTAGTCCCCTGGATGGGTTGCAAAGTTCTAAGAGCAAACTGATTGCACAGCTTTAAAATAGTATGTCTTGTTTTTTTATGATTATATGAATCTCAAATCTTTTCTGTGATCTCCAGCTCTTTAATGAACATGTGAACACAATTACTACTATCATTTTACCCTCAGAAATGATTCCAACTCCTTTTGCAATGGCCTTAGCTGTGATTGGGTGATCACCAGTGACCATGATAACTTTGATTCCTGCACTGCGGCATTTGCTGACAGCATCAGGAACAGCGGCACGAGGAGGGTCAATCATGGACATTAGACCAACAAAGCACAAGTTTTCGAGGGGGAAATTAGGAGGCTATGAAAAAAATGTTTGAGTCATGAACACTTGACTGTATAACAGGATATATACATAATGTAAAAAATCACTAAGGAGGACCTTGGTTAACCTGCACTTGAAAAATGTCACTTACAACATGACTATGTCTAAAAATACATTGTCTTAAGTTTTCCTATGGTTCCATTCATGTATACTAGTTCTATGTATATGTTGTAGGTAAAATCCATTCTCAAGTAAAACAAGAATTTCCTTTGTCTTCTAGAATAATTAGGGATGGAAAACCACGGGAAATTTGTATCACAATAGTTTGAATGCTGGTTTAAGCTGACAAAATGCAGCATATCATACAACTACAAACAATACATGTACCTCATCAGTAACAAACTCAAAACCCTGTGGGAACTGATCCTCAGGCAGGAAAAAATGACAGAAACCAAGCACACGCTCTCCCATGCCTCCCAGTTCAAGGTAAGCAGTATTGAAAGCTTCCTTCATCTTTTCATCAAGTTCCAGTTCTTCACCATTCATCAGGATTGTTGAGCATCGGTCCAATATTCTCTCTGGGGCGCCCTTCATCACAAGAATATAGCGATTATCATCAGGATCAGCATTTTCATGAACTGATACTTGGTACTTATTTGTGGAATTGAAAGGGATCTCTGCAATCTTTTTGTTTTTGTCCCTCATATCTTTCACACTTCCCTCTGACAGCTCCACATACTTCATTAAGGCTGACTCAGAAGCATCTCCAGAACAATCTCTGCAAAAAAACGAATTAAGTCAGCCTCAAAAAACTGTTTATCCTGTCCCTACCCCTATTAATCCAAACCTGTTAAATGGTCATAAGGTTTTTTCTCACTAATGTCACTTTAAACTCCTTATGAACATAATATATTCTTTCAAAAACAAACAGTTTTCAGTTAACAAGAGCCTAAGAAATACACATGTTTATGTGTAAATCAAACTTTCTACTTGCTAATTAATCATTTTTAACTTCAGGCCTTACCTTTTTAAAATAGGAATGTGATCTTGATCAGCCTTAAACACTGCTCTATTACACAGTCCTGCAATACGAGCCAGTGCTTTCCATGTAGCAGATGTCTACAAGAGAACAATAGAAACTTTATGACCCTTAGTTAGTCCTGATGGGCGACATTGTGGCCACCAGGCCCATCAAATGAGTTTGTCTTTTATATTCAAGCTACCACCCCTAATCAAGGTGGTTCTTTTGGCCTTGTCAAGTGCATGTTTTGACAATAAGAGATGTATAAAGAGAGCAGAGTACAGTTATCCCTACCTTATTAAAGGAAACTCCTGACTGATCCTCAGTGGTATCAGCTTCAATTGTTGTGTTGTCAAACCACATATGAGCTGCAAAATTCATGTTCACTTTAGTAATGGTGCATGATCTTTTCACATACTTGTAACAGCTCTGATCTTGTACATCTAGCTTTCCATTATTAAACAACAAACTTGTCAACAGACCTTTTTACCAATACGGCGGCCATAGATTAGATTTAAGCAGTATTATTGTATCCCCAAGGGGCACTCGCTCAGTATTTATGCGCGGTTTTGGGCAAAAAGAGAAGTTCACTGTATATTTCTCGGGAAAAAGGCGATCATAATTTATTATTACATTCAAACACGGCACAACAATCTTTTTTTCCCATCTTTCTCTGGGAAAACTTAAAAAGAAAAATTGGCCCAAAAAGCGCACGTAAATACGGAGCGAATATGTCAGATATTTGTGCTCGTGCTCCCTGGGCATCCCATAATACTCCTTAAATCTAATTAATTCAATATGGCCGCCGTATTGGTAAAAAGGTCTATTGTAGGATGTGTGCAAAATGCCTGAACTTTACACAGTCATAAACTGACATAAATGTAGCCCTAGAGTATTTACAAACTAAGAAAACTCTACATTGCAATGTAGTTCAACAGAAACATCATGTCTGCAAGTCTATATTCTGATCAATATCTATTAAAAATCATGTGAATAATAAGTGCAATCACAGCCTTAAGAATAAAAAAAGGCATTGCACCTTCACTAGTCACTCTCTCCAAATTGAAAACTTCACATACCGACTGTCATTCTGTTTTGTGTCAAAGTTCCAGTCTTATCTGAGCAGATTGTTGATGTACTTCCAAGTGTTTCAACAGCCTCAAGATTCTTCACCAAGCAATTTTTGGATGCCATCCTTTTTGCAGTGAGTGTCAAACATACCTTCATTTCACATGGGAAAAAAGCAACATTGATTACATGTACAGCCATTTAATCCTTTCATGCATAGTCAGTTCAAATACAGGCCACTGAAGGTTTAAACAATTAATGGTCATTTTATAAAGTTCATATGATCTTAGTTACACTTCCAAAAAATAAGATCGTTTTTTTCTCTTTATATACTGGTACAACACAGCAATAACATTTTGCATAGAGGAAACTATTTTAAGGACAGTTCAGAAGTCTTTTTACCTGTAACTTGCATAAGAATACGTAACTGTAAAGAGTATGTAATGTTTCAACTTACCGTAACAGTTGCAAGAAGTCCCTCAGGTACATTAGCCACAATGATTCCAATTAAAAAGACAACAGACTCAATCAACTTGTATTTCTGAATCTGAGCAATAATGAAGAAGGAAACACCAAGGAAGACTGCAACAGCAGTAATAATATGGATGAAATGCTCAACCTCAATAGCAATAGGAGTTTTGTCACTGCCTAGACCGCTTGCCAGGTTAGCTATACGACCCATTACAGTGTTGTCACCAGTTTGTACAGCAACACCCACACAGTTTCCTTCTAATCCATTTGTAGAGAAAAAAGCTAGATTTCTGGTTTCCAAAGGGTTTTCATGGGTGCAGTCTGGGCCTCTGCTCTGGGGTTCAGATTCACCAGTCAGTGAGGAATTGTCAACCTACACAGAGAAACAAATGCAAGACTAACTCTTATTGTCTTATTTGAAAATAAAATGATGATAGAGAAGAATGTCTTTCCACTACCAAAAATAATTTGCTCATGCTTTTAGCTGTGCATATATCAAGTTATGGATGCACTTGGGAAGTTTGGAGAGCACTCAAGAAGCTAGAGTTGCACTCAGCAAAATCTTACGCATCTTTCGTGCTCTCCAAACTTCCCACAAGCATCCATAACTCAAAATACGCATTCTAAGGACGAACAAATTCTTAAATATATAAAAGTAGCCTCAATTGCAGTAACTAAAAATACATTAAAGTTAAAAATACAACAATCTTTAAAAAATCATTTAAAAACACTAAAATACAACAATAGTAGTGTTTTTCACTTATGGGTTAGGAAATAGTTATGTATAAATGACTATTTTTCCTTGACTTTTCATGATGGATTCTAAATTGATGATCTACTGCCAGATTTTACCTTAAAGCCTCTGGCCTCAATAACCCTGATATCAGCAGGAATGCGATCTCCTCCTTTAACAAAGATGATGTCACCAACTACAACCTGTTCTGCATTGATTGTGTACCTTTCACCACCTCGCATCACATGTGCTTCTTGTGGAACCAAATTTTTAAAGCTTTCCATGATTCGAGAACTCTTAGCTTCCTAAGATGATTATCAGGGAAGAAAGAATGAAGAAAGATGATTTTAAGTCAGTGAAAAAGTACAGGCAGCTCAGAAGATAAATATTTAGAAGTCAATGCCTTTTTACTAGCTTCATTAGCTTTTGACAAGAGAGACAATCAAATATTTGTTATACTATAGGGTCTGAGTAAAAAAACAAAATACTGTTAAGAGGAAGGACTGTCTTGGCTGTTGAACTGGCATGGCTGATACAGCTAAGACAGCCCTTCACCTTAAAAAAAATATATGAAGTCTTTGTCTTAATTAATTTGCTACAGAGAAGGGAGGTGTCTTTTCCAGTTTTGATCAAATGGGCTAAATCATGATATTCAGTGATAAAGAAAAAAATAATATAGACTATGCCACGATGCACCAGCAGCAGGTTCAAATCAACCATGATAACTGCAAACAATCAATGACTCTTCAACAAAGTGTAAGTAACTTCAGGAACATGTGGATACTGAGCCAATAAAATCTCTATACCTGATAATATGAGAAGATTCCAGTCACGATAACCACCAATGCAAGCACAATTCCAAGGTACAACTAAAACAACAACAGAAAAATTGTCAAATGAATCTGATAACAGGGTTACAAGAGGTGACTGCCACTACAGGAGTGATTATAATTCATGCATAACAACTTACATTATCTTTTGATGGTTCCTCCTCTGTTGCTACCAGGATGCCATATGCAATAAAGCAAAGAATAGATCCAAACCACAGAAGAAGAGCAAAACCACCAAACAACTGCTTAGCAAACTTCACCCATTCAGGAGTAGTAGGAGGGGGAGACAAGGCATTGGGGCCATCACGTTCTAAAACTTCAGCAGCTTTTTCCTTTGTTAGACCCTGCACGGAAAAAAAACTCAGATTTATGACTTTCCAAATTTTCCTCTAAATTTTTTTTCTTCTTTCCATGGTGACCAAAATGGTTTCAGCACATAGGACACTGTACAGTGATTTAATTAGGCTGGGGATCTGAGCAACAAAATTATCAGAAAAGTAATCTTGGTGTAGCCAAAATGCAAACATCAATGCCATAAAACCAATATATTTTGATACTATTTGTATTTTACAGGTAAATAATTTCTCCATCCCAAACTTGGACAATGTAAGCAAAGAAAACTTAGCAGCAAAGTTACATTACACGAAATGTGGCTGATCACATGACCATTGAACCACTCTAAAATTGCAGCTCTACAATGTTTAACATACTTTTTCAGTACTTCTGAGTAAGGTTTAATAATGACTGATAGAGTTGAATTTATGATTGGGCTTGCCACAGGCAGCCCAAAAATTGAAAAAAGAGAAGCAATACCTAGCTACATGTATATGTGCAGCAGTTGACAATATGTCAGTGAAAAAGCTAAGGGGCAAGTCTTAAAACTTTGATAATATCCAAATAAAGAATTATAGAAATGTTTCTAAAGCAAAGATGGTAAATTTTGATTTCAGTTATGAAATGTTTTGGTTACGATTGAGTGACCATTCCATTATGTCTGTTCCAGCTGATTTGTCATGATGACATTATAAAATCAATATTCATTTCTAAGATTTTTGCAAAAATGCCTGTTTATGCAACAAAAGCCTACACTGTAAAATAATACAACAGACAAAAACTGTAAGTTTAAAAGATATAATTTGCATTTAGAACTGCCAAAAGAGTCTTAGTAATTCTAGCAATTTCTTTGCAAATTATATACCCTGAAAATTAACTGGCCTATAATATAAAAAGCATCAAGGCTTTTATGCCCGAAATCGACAGTAACTAGACTTCCAAGATCCCAGCTGGTTTGCATGGCATTATAAAATCAGATCATATGGCAGAAATAATGTATGGTTTTAATAACAAACATGTCGCTGTAAAACAAAGTTAACATATCTTTTATCGAGCCAGCTCGTGCAAGTAGGAGGGAAGGTCAGGAATAAACAGTTGTAGTCGATTTCCGTCTGGGCCCATTTTAGGAAGGCCTGAGCAACGACATACGGTTTAACAACAATGGAATAAAGTCAAGTTGCCTTTACGAAAATTTATAGAAATATGCAAAAGAAATATTTGATATTTGCATTTCGACAAAAGAGCTCGCCACTTTTAGAGCTGGACTTAAGCATAACATTACAAATTAGAAACAGAGTCAGCAAAACGAGAGTTTCCTACAAAAATCGTCTGTGGTTAGTTATTGTACTACAGGGGCGTAGAATAAAACCCTTCTTCAACAAAATCATCAAGCGCGACAACTTATGAGGTAGGAAATATTAAAGGTGTTTGAAAGAAGCCAATATTCCGAGGCTATTAAGCGTATGTACATTTTAATTAAGCTCACTCCGTAACCGGCAAATAGTAGTAGATTTGCTAGCTTTACAAACACTGTGTAATCAGATCGACTTGGACAAAGTAACGGCTTTTCCTTCCGCGTACTGTATAAAAGATTGAACCTAACTGAAATATATAAAGAGTATATACAAGATTTGAACTAACCGTTTGTGTGTTTGTTTCCAAGCGGCTACACAAATCTTCGAGAGTAATTGTGTGCCAATCCTACAAAATATAAGAACGATTTCAGCATGACAGCTTAAGATAACCATATCGTTGCATTGAATATGTTTCCTTACAATTTCTAACTCCTTTTTGAGATCTTCCAAGTCTTCCTTCTTCTCCTTCTTTTTGGCTTTTGACTTAGAAGGCTTCTTTGCCGGTTTTCCGCCATCTTTCTCTTTCGAACCATCTCCCATAAGAGGAGTTGTTGCGACGCGGTAGCTTTGACTTCTACCAAACTAGAAAAAGAAATAAATCTTTCCGTTAGTTTTGATAAACATACGGAAGAAGTAATCATACGAAACAAAAGCATCATACGTCTTCATCCATTTCGAGCTCCGTGGTCGCCATATTGGAGTACAACTACACAACCCCTGTGGAAACCCACGTGTAGTGTTAATGACTGCCAATCGAATGCCACGTGATCAACTCATTCTTGTGGGTCCCACTGGGTTACGTAAGCGGGTCAGTGGAGTTTCTTTAATTTGTTTTATATTTGGTCAATCGGAAACGGTTTAGAGATTTTTAGAGATAGTTACCGTAAAATTCCGAAAATAAGCCCCGGGGCTTATATTTTTCAAAGGCCCTTTTAGAGGGGCTTATTTTTGGAGGGGTTTATAATCGGAAAGGCTTATGTACGGAGGGAAATTTGCGTTTCAAAATCGATTGGGCTAGCTTGTAGTGGGAGGGAAGATTACCATTTTTGCTTTGTTTTACTTTGTATTGGAGGGCAAATTCCAAGTACAAGACCCCGGGGCGCTTATATTCTTATATTCTGAGGGACGATTACATGGAGGGGCTTATTTTCGGAATTTTTACAGTATTTGTTTTTTAACGTTCTTCTGGCAAAATTAAAGCTGAGACCAGAAGCATGAACCCAAGACACCAGAATCACGAGTGTCAATGAAAAATGTCAATGAGTCCTTTCCCGCTTCCCAGGAAAACCTTACAATCATATCCTTTTGTTCCCAAAGTGACTCGGAAGAAACAGTCACCAATTTTCTTTCTTTCTTTCTTTCTTGCCTTCGTTCTTTTTTGATACATTTTATAACCTAAACTTTACTTTCATATATGCTGATAAAGCAGTGAAAAATATAGCTTTTCTGGTACTTATGTTATTTTTAACTCTTTCAGTGATAGAGCACTTTGGCAGGTAGTTTGAGAATGTGCGTAACTTAGGTTTCGACATATAGCCGTAAAACAAAGAAGCCAGGAATAAAAACTTGTTCACCAGCTAATTCCTTTTTTAAGATTGAACGGGCTCCGTGATGTCTATGATAAAGAGCTCACAATGGTATATAATGCAATACATCAAACTGAATACATGTCAGTAGACTAGGCCAAGAACAACATTGGCCACATAATGTCTTCAAAATTCCAGTGGCAAGGTAGAACAAAGATGGTAAACGGTAATTGGACAGTATTCAAAAGGTCTTTGATCTTAACACGAACCCGACTGACATGGACTGACTGGCTCGAACATCACTCTGACACTCTCTGACAAGATAAAGCCGCTGACATGAAATTTAATGTTTAAAAGATGAAACAACGATACTGGTGACTTAAGTAGATTCTTGTTCAGTAAAAAATACATCGCACTCATCCATTCACGTGTGATAGCCAATACGGCAAAGTAGTGTATATAGTATACTGTTAAAAATTGGAGACTCCATGATCACGCTATATCTTGCTTTTTGCCGTTTCATACGGCATACTGTATTCGTTACAATCTTGAGTCTCTTAACAAACCCGTTCGCAGTATCAGAATTGTATAATTTATTTAAGTGAAAACTGGAAAGTTTTCTGTTCTGAGGTCTGTTTTATCGCGCGAACTTGACCTGAGTAATAGTGGCAATCAGCTACCAATGGTATGTACGTCACAACCACGTGACCTAATATACTTGCTCTTCCCGTATGCGCATCATCATGTATTAAAATACTACCGTACCTAATTAGAGTATTATAAATTTCTGGTTTGCTCATTTCCTCAGCCGTATGTTAATACAAATATCAGTATAAAGGCTTTTTTCATGCAAAAAGCTTTACTTAAGATCGCGAAAAGGTTAAGAAATGTTTTAGAAGGAGTATGCCTAAATACAATTTTAAAAAAATTAAAAGAATTTTGAAAAGTCTTATTAACTACCAGTGAGTCACTGTTGTTGAGGTTCCCAGTTCACTGTCACTCTCATACTTGATTTTAACTTCGCTCACAAGTTATGGGGAAAACAAACCATTTTGCCGTTTTACTGGTTTTATGAGATGCAGCGGGAAAGAAATAACTTGCAGTGGTCTTTCTATATTTAGAACATTGGTAAAGGCAAACGTTTACACGACGTTTGTCACATTATTAAAATCAGAAGTTAAAACTGCGTCTGTTACACGCCTTAGCGAAAATCTTTAGCTAGTGGAAAATCCTTTACCTAATTACGTAACAAAAAGAGCTTATTAATTTGCCAACCGTTCCACGCTCATTGCCGTGAGCGGCGACAAACTACAATCTAACAATACTTTACCAAATTCTCTTTTTCCTCCGCGCTTCCCGCTTTTGCTCGTTTTCCACCTGAAGCCTTACTCATGTTTGCACTGTGTAAAGTTAGTAGAACTAATCAGCCTTTAACTGAATAAATCAGTGTCTCAGTTTAGGAAACAGGCAGCAGAGTAATGGTCAGTCAAGTCAGTCACCGGCCGGCGGAGTAGTGACTCAGCTGGAGGCAGAGCTTTTACACGGACCTTGATCGGAAGACGCGAGTACACCTCAAATGAGATTAAAGGACCTTTGAAATTTATTGCCGGGTGACTGAATACAGTATAAATAAATTAGCCTGGAGACCCAATGGTGAAGTAGTTATCTATGATATTGCCTGTTTGAATTGTTGAGTTAATGTTCAAACCCAATACAACAAACAATCAGTGGTCAATTGAATTTTATACTTGTGCGTAGTATAACACTGATAAAACATTGGAACTTTAGGTCCAACACAATAAGCTTATAGAAACCGGTATTGGCCCTCATTGTATCGTCGTTACACTTTAGATCTGAAAATCCCTTCATATTTGTTGTCACTTTCAGTCTTTTTTAAAGTTGTTTTCTGCCCTTCAGTCTCTACATAGCCCGGCGGCTATGTAAAGAAGTTTGGTTGGTTACGGAAATGTATATCTAGATAAAGGTAAAAACATTCTTTTAACTCGAAACTCTTGAGATCTTTATGCATCAGTGATGTTTTTTCATGCGTGATGGCTTTTAATATTTGCATGAGTACGCTGTGGAGTTGAGCAGCTCATACAGTACTGGAGCCAGTTAAAGGAGATGGCAATAAACAGAGCCCTGAGTGAGTCTTGTTCGACTCACGGCCTCAGTTTCTCATGTTGAATACGAACATTGAAACGTCTTAAAAATTTCTCGGTTAAAGCAGGTCTCATTATGACAAGAACCATGCCGACTTTTTTGGAAAAGTAGCCATATTTTGGAGTCAAACTCATTCAGATTGTCAGTTAATGTGTTGCATTGCAACGTTGTTGGGGAATGTGGAGGAGGTGGACAGAAATAACTGCAAAGAATTGCAGTTACACAGTGCAAGTAATTCATCAAATTTAATTCATACACTGAAAAAATGTCTAAAGGAACTGAAGAAATTATTCACCGGGTGATCGGACCAAGAATTAATGAAACCGTCGATCGACGAGTCTCGGCGGCGTCCTGGGTACGATCCCAATTAAGAGCACTTCGATTGATATATTTTCCGCTTCAATTCTTAACTTCGACTCTGGCGGGTTTAAAATAACGTCGATCTCGTGGTCCGTGTTCAATGATCCTTTTATAAAATTTATTTTGCTCGAGACCTTTGTTCTCAGTATACTGCAGCCATGTATCAAACCGCGAAAAAAGCGATTCTCGGGAAGCTGTTCTATTAGCGTATTTACATAAAAATCAAGCGCCCCCGAATCCCATCTAATAAATTAAAATCTCAACAGTTTCAGAAACAACTTCAACACTTAACTTTTTTTTAATCTTGATAATGTTGTTGAATAATTCGAAACGTTGAACAACTTTACGTTAATTACTCTTGCAAGTTAAATCGTAAAACTGACCAGTTTAAACTGAAGTAAAATGAGTAACCATTGAGGGAGCAACTTCGAATAAGGATCAGTATTAACTGAACTATATTAGCTAGTCAGGGTTTAAGTGCCTACCGACTCCGGCTCGGCTCCATTGACTTCATACTGCTCTTGGACATACAAACTACCCAGCAACTCCTTGTTCAGTTCTGCCATTTATCCAGCTGCTCGTATCTAACAAACAACACACAATCAAACTATAACAGAGCGGCAGAAATGAGCATCAGAAATAAGTAATAGTTTTATGTCAATATTGTTTTAGTAGACTAACAAGAATGTCGCTTTAAAAAGAGTTGTATAAACAATAATTTGTAAACCGTAAATTGAAGAACAATTTTTTCCCCTCATATTTCAACCAAGGAGAACCATTTCAAAAACGAGCTCTCTTGATTTGTCCTGGGAAGGAATGTTGAAAAAAAAAATTAAAAGAACGAAAACGGCCTGACAATTAAGAAATGCTGCCACATGTATATGTATATCATATACTATACTACTACTATTTATGTGTCTGCTATTATAAACAGGCATTAGTCTATTTTCCTCTGATTAAAAAAGAAAGTTTGGTGAGCCAAGGGGACGCGAAACTGAGAAATAAGACAAATAAAGAAAGAGCGTCAGGAACTTCGCAAGTAATGCCGTGATGTAGTTTGTTGTATAGTAGTACTTCTATCATATTTAATCAGTTGGCTCTCTATCATTCATTTACAGTCTGTATAGCTTACTCTTAAGTTAAGTAACCGCCCAATATCCTAACCTGCCCATGGCTTGATTGAGTTGACTCTATAAACGAGGGTCATTGTAAAGACTACTCGACGTAGAATTTTTGGAACATTTACACGTCATAAGAAAATCAAAAATATAAAGAAATATCTGCGGAAAGGGTACTTGAATATTGACTCAGGATGAATGTTCTAATTACATTCAGAAAACTTTAAGAGTTTTAAAAGCCTGTTCAGACTTCAGCAAGATATGCTAACCAATAGCTGAGTCACGAAATTTAAAATCGAAATTAAAAGACTCCAAAAATTTTTTATTTTGAAATGGATCGCCAAGAGCTTTTGTATTGTGGCAAGAAAAACACGAATAAGCTGCGTCATTTCTTAAGGCTTCTGTAGTAAACAGGAGACTGTGAACGACAGGTTTTAATTAATCTTATTAAACAAAGTATAACTGCTTTTATCCCGTCATTTTAGATATTAAATATTGACGACGACGTCACAATATCAGAATAACGA